ATATATATTATATGTGTATATATGCATTAGGCATTATATATTATATAACTGAGAATAAATTATCCTAATGGTATAAGGATATCTAGTGGCAACTCTTGGATATTTACTTCGTAGCTTCGTACTTTCTAATATTAAAAGCAAATCCTTCTTAGTTCATGCTGGTTAAATGAGAAGCGGGCTTTTAATCTTTCTATTGTATAATACAAATACTCCAGATGTGTGTAAAATCAATGTGAGAGTACAACTGACTAAGAGAAAATTTGGTGAGTCGGCATTATGTTAGTGAAATGGCTGTTTGGCCAGCAAGCATAACACTTCTGACTGAAATAGGCAGCCTTACCGTTTTATATGGTATTTACCTGTTTTAATTCCAAACGCTATGTTATGCTGTTTTGCCTGTAATACCACTGAGACTCACTTTTCACCATCTGTAGCTGACAAGTTTCGTTATATGCAAATACTAGAAATGGAAGAAGTACGTAATTTACTTTAACTACTTAATCCTCCAGAAAGCACTTGCTCCGTTAAATTTATTACTTCTTAGGAGTAATAAACGGCTCTAACACGACATTAATTTGTGTGTTAATCCACCACATTTATAACAAATTTATAGTTGATGTGCTGTACCGAATTTTTTAATAATTCGTATGTTAATAAAATAATGGAACTTTTGAATTACGGATTTTCTGTTTTATTTGCTTCTCTCTAGGTTATCGATGCAGAGCTCAAAACAGAAAAGCGTCTCGAGCTAACGGCGGAGGGCGCTGAAATTGCTGTCAAGGGTAGCCATGAAGTAGTTGTATATAACGCGGTGCCGAGTAACGGAATTAAGCAAGCTGATCTGATGGTCTATGTTCCTTTTTTTCACTGTACCATATATCCCCAAAGGACAATAATTCTATGTCTAGGTAATCACGTATCGTTGGAATTTTTCAATAAAAATTCGGAAATTACTTGAAAAATTTAGTAACTTTAATCATCTATTTCATGCTCCAAAAGCAATTTAAATGTCGTTCAAGTCAATTCATGAATCAGGAATCCTTTTAACGTAAAGATGTTGGTTCTTTTTAGTGTATACTTCTACGAACTAGGCGAAAAAGTTCTGTTTTGCGTTTTTTGCACAGAAATCTGTGGGTGTTGTGGGAAAGGTTGGATTCAGCAAGGCCATGTCACACGGTTGGATTGCCCTGGATAAGACGCACCCTGAAGGTCCGAGAATTATACGAAAAGTAGACTTTATCAAGGATGAAGTTAAGGACTGGCTAGCACAGGTTGCAAACGGTATGAAAAACACACAAAGAATACGACTGTTCTATGTCAGATAGCAAACGAATGTCTCTTGAAAGCAGAACTATCTCATTAAAAATGCAGTTCTTCCCTCTGATGATTGAAAGTGTTTGTCTGTGTGTAACACACCGTACTTTTTTTTTTGTGTTAGTCACGTAATTAGCCGACCAAAAATTAACAGTAGGAAATATTTTGCCCTATTTTTAATTTCGAGGCATGCATATATTTCCTAGATTCCCGCAAATGACGTGTCTAGCGATTTTAAGTAAATTAGATGTAATAGTTAACTAAAAGTGAAGCTGTAGTCTATTAGGCTTGAAACCAACGAACTAGTTTTAAGTCCAGTCAAAGGTTTCTTCTTAACCGACTTTCTATGAAAAGTGATGAAAAGTGACTAATAGCTCATGGTTTCCAAGACTGGATGTTTCTACAGTAACCATGAAGTGCGCGCTTGGCTTCATATCCATATATGCTTCATTTGTGCTACAGATCGCGTTGATAACATTTTTTCCGTTGTAGAAGACACCTCTTCGTTCGTCGGAAGGTCCCTCCTTCATGACCTGCTGGCTGAAAATCATGCCCATTGTTTATTTGTCCTCATCTTCTGTATCATTCTTGCCTGCATTTTAGTGCCCTTCAGGTTACTCCTTCGCATTCGAACTTTTTATTCTCCGCACGAATCGCACGTTAATCGATTTGTGATTTACATACGATTCCTCAATGTTGGGATCCCTTCATTTAAGGTAGAGATCTCCGAAAAATGTTTTGAGCTGATACCCATCTGGAAACTTATACAAACTTGGTTTATGGTACCAGGTGCACTACCACTTTCGCCGCCTCCGGAACTCACTCCGGATCAAGTTTTTAAAGCTGACCTAACCAATACCTTTTGGATGAATTATATTATGCATACAGTCAAAAACAGCTGATAGATAAGAGTAGGTAATGTAGAAGACATGTATAGTTCACCACGGAAGGAGTGATTCAGACCTTTTTCCACGGAAACGTACCAAATTACCATTAGCGCTGTCGAAATGTTATAAAGTATTGAGCGATATGTTTCGTTTTAAGCTTGCCGTCCGGCTTAATGCATCAAATCAATAGTAGTTTAATACTGACGGATTTTGGAGTGAAGAAGTCAAAGTTAGCACTTACATACAAAAGTTTCGAGGTCTATGTCTGTATATGCTACTATTATACAAACTATCACGTTTAGATTTGTTAAACCCTGCTAAAAATGCATCAGCGGCATTTGTTGTGGCAATCAACAGAGATTTAAAACTAATAATTTTAGTAATTTCTCAGGAAATGATGCTGCCTTAGATGAAGGCAAACGAAATGAGTTGAAGAAACGAAAACTAATTCAAGAGGCTCAGCTCAAAATTTACGATATTAAGAAAGGTCCTGCGTTCGCCCTCGAGTTAACGAAGCAAGAAACTGATCTCACCATGGAACTGATCGCTTCAGGAGATTGGAAAACTAAGTCGTTCAAGGAATATAACTTCGATGCAATGGGAATCCAACCTGAGCGTGGACAATTGCATCCCTTAATGAAAGTGCGCTCTGAATTCCGACAAATTTTCCTTGAGATGGGTTTTGAAGAGATGCCGTCCAACAGGTTTGTCGAGAGTTCCTTTTGGAACTTCGATGCCCTGTTCCAACCTCAGCAACATCCTGCTAGAGATGCGCATGATACATTCTTCATTTCGGGTAGGATTTTGCCAAATATGTTACATGAAATATACGATATTTAGATGTACGCAGAAAATGTTGGTTATAGAGCCATGTGTATTGGCGTCCTATCTAATAACTTTTGTTGACATTTCCTTTTTACGTAGTTTCTGCTCATTACTAATATTTTGAACACGCAGGCGGAATGTATATAATACGTATAAAATTTGTTTCGTTACGGTATTTTTTTCTGTTTGCAGACCCAGCAACAAGCTCAAACTATCCTGAAAAGTATGCCGAGACTGTCCGTATGACTCACACCTCAGGTGGTTATGAATCTATTGGTTACAACTACAACTGGCAATACAGCGAAGCACAAAAAAACCTCCTAAGAACGCATACAACTGCCGTCTCCGCAAGAATGCTCTATGGACTAGCTCAGAAAGGATTTAAGGTATGACATCGCAATACTAAAACAATCTATAAGCTTTATAATTGAGACGCATTTTATTGTGCCAAAATGAATGTACAACCAAGGGGTGTTGACAATGTGGCCAGAAATAATTCAACTCATTTGCTTGTATGTAAAGGATCAGCAGGAATTTTTTTTTGTGCATGCATCTGCACATTGTCGATGTCGAAACACTATTTAGAAGTACAGTCCGGTCTATTGGCTTGGGCGGAATACAAATCAAGTAATCGCTCTAAAATTTAAAAACAGGTTCTTTGATATCTGATCGGACTATACTTAGTTGCTGCAAGAGTGAGATAATACATGGAGACGAATATGGCGAGTACTAAGTATTTTTCCCGGACGGTTTAACAAGTCATTTTTTATAATTTTTTTTGCGCTTTGTCATGTATCAGTTGCTGTAAGCTTCTCCTTCGTGGAACTCCAATGAATATATTCCTTGACATCGTTGTTCTAGTTATAAAACATTACTATAAAATTTCAGCCGGCTAAGTACTTCAGTATTGATCGAGTGTTCCGAAATGAAACCTTAGATGCGACTCACCTAGCGGAATTTCATCAAATCGAAGGAGTGGTAGCTGATAGAAATTTAAATCTCGGGAATCTCATGGGAGTCATCAAAACGTTCTTTGACAAACTTGGTACGTGTCGTGTGCGAGTGCGCAGAACAGTATCCTTTTCACACAGTGTCAGCCTAATTTTGTTAAAATCATATCTGGCACAACCTAATACAATCTTCTACAAATATAATACATTACACATACGACCTTTTGGCACTCTACGCTTCGCTGCCTAAGCTATCTATAAGTTCGAACAGCTCAATAAGGTATAGTACACAGTTTTTAAAAATTTCTCGCAATGATTCATTTATTACAACGGTAAAAATTCCAAAGCACTTTGTGATACGTTTTAAAGGCATACTCCGATTTTCTTTTGTTTCATATTCGACTAAAAGGATCATTACGACTACAGAGTTGAAATTATAGATCATTGAAAAACCTGTCTAAATATATTAATTACAGATGCTTTGGTAGGTCTGTATTGCTGGTCGTTACGCATTTACTGTTTTCAATGTTTTCATATGAAGGGATCGATAAGATCAGGTTCAAACCCGCGTATAACCCATACACGGAGCCTTCAATGGAGATTTTTTCGTATCACGAGGGGCTGGGAAAGTGGGTCGAAGTAGGCAACAGCGGAATGTTCCGGCCCGAGATGTTATTACCCATGGGACTGCCAGATGATGTTCAGGTAATTTTAAAAAATAGTGTTATTTTTCTTCGCTACTACAAGCGCTAAGGACAACCGTCCATAGCAACACCTCGTAATTAAAAGATAATAACAAGAAGTAAGATTTAAAAAATTGCTTGTTCGGGCACATCCTGATGGCAGTCGACCTTGAATTAAATATTTGCAGTACGGGCCATAACTGACAACAATTCAACTTAAGTTCATTCACTCTATATAACAATACCTTGCGCCTATGCTATCTTTAGACAACCGAGTTAGTTGGCAACAGGACTCTTTCTGTATGGTGTTATCAGTTGTGTCCCGCATACCTTACTACCTTTAGGCTTTACTACCCTTTAGGTGATCGCGTGGGGTCTATCTTTAGAGCGGCCAACAATGATTAAGTACGGCATCGATAACATCCGTGACCTTGTAGGACACAAAGTGGACCTACAGATGGTGTACAGCAATCCGATTTGTAGACTCGGTAAGGACTAACCTAGCCGCTTTGTTAACCACCTGCAGTGCTTTATTCAGTATTTCCCACCATGTGTTAGTTGAATAAATTATTGCGCTTTTAAAAGAAATTGCACAACGTATCATTATTTTGACTAAAAGAAAGTACACTTTAACAATGTAAATTAAAAATTCATTGTATACTGTAATGTTCTTCGTTCGAAAAAAATTTAAAAATGATTGAAAAAACTTGATACCATTGATAAATACTGTCTAACCCAAATCGACAGTCCAGGGGATCGCAAATGTATATGTGGCTACAGAAGAAGCATAAGCAAAATACACGGGAAGATCCACACCAGAGAAAAAACAATCTCAGCTGGAAACTGCTTGAGAGTTAATTTCTCACCATTGTTTTGTTACCAAGGTAGTTCGTGAAAAAAATTTTGAGTAGAATTGCCATATTTTGATCCTTGAGGCAGTGCCGTTTGCTCTTCAATTCTCTCGGAATTGAAAGAGCAGATCTGCTTCCAAAGTCAACCGCAAAAGTGATTGCCGACTTGTTTATGATCGAGAAAATTCGCCTATTAAAGGTACAAATAATTTTCTATCTAATCTGCACGTGTGGCGTCCTAGAAAAGGTAACGTACTAACAGAATAAACAATGAGAGACACACTTAATCTACTGTTGTCTTATTGCACATGTTATGCGAGTAATAGAACAACATTGTCCACATAAAAGCTTTAGCCCAAAAATGATTAGTTGAATATTATGAATGAAATTCAACTATGTAATCAACTATGCACTTTCAAGTAATCAACACACTATCAAGTAATTTATTTAAAATTGAATATAACATTGCAAGCTAACATTTTTAAGTTAACGGACCAATTTAATTTCTCATAGAAATTAAATAGAAGTTTAATGCGATGTTTTTTTTTTAAGAAACGTTAGAAAATCGGCATTGGGCGCGCGTTAGTTTCCTAGAATTATATTTGTCGCTATACTTGAACTGTATTATTTATTATTACGTAGACGTACGACTTGGTTCTTCGCTACTTAATTTTTAGTGTTACCATTCATTTTAAAACCTGGCCTTCTAATTACTCCCTTTCCTTAAACTTTTATTGTTCTTCTAGTTAGGGCTGTCCTCAGAGTTAGGCTCGGGCTTCTCTTCTATCCGCGGTGGGCACTGATGGCAGTATTTCTGGTGGAAAAAAAGAACACTGTTAGCACTTTTATTGTTCCTCTAATTGGGGTTATCCTCAGTCTTAGGTTCAAGCTTGTTTTCGCGCTAGACACTGAAGAGGGTATTAATAAGTCATATTAACTGATTTCGCCTAAGCCAAGTATTGATACCTAATATAGACTAAATGAGCGCTAGCTTAGTCTGCCTTAGTTTATACCTTAGCTGCCTTAGATATCGACCTTTCAAAAGGCAGCTTTTCCCATTTGGGTGACTCTTTTGCCTTAAATTCTTAAAATTAACCTGAAAAAGGTAAATTAATTAGTTTAGTTATTCTACTTCGTTGAAGAACGTTTTTCCTTATAGGAGATACCAATTAGTAAGTTAACGCGAAATTTAATGAATCATACGCTGAAAACGATTTATGGTAGCATGCCGTATACAGTGGTCATACAACAAATATAATACTTCATTAATAGTTCGTCACCTGCTTATATATATATGCTATACGTATTTAGTAAAGAAAAGACAATTCTTAATTGTTTCTATTTTTTATCATTATACCGGTTGCTTTGCTCAAGATGATACTGTCTGCCTGTAGGCTACGTCCAAAATATAAAAAATTATTTGTATAAGACACACGATGGAAAATTATTTTTCGCCGTCTGGCCATCCGGTCCATATTGTTGAATAAACTTCGTTTGCCATTCTTATATTGACCCTGAAGGGAGCACGTTCAAAAACAACTTGTACATCTCACTTCATTTGGTTGGTTTATTTCATTCTTCATACACGTGGTGTGTATAAGTATCGCGCAGGCGGTATCTGCCAGTTCTGCACTTTCAAGGGCCGTTGTGGTATCGACCAGTTTCACTGACATTTTCTTCGGCTCTATCTCGCGCTAGCCTGAAATGCCAGCTTCTTATCTGATGGGGTTATTAAAGAAGCGCCTATATCTCGTCCTTATCAGTGAGTATAATGTCGGGCTGAAATAATCGCTATTAATGTGGCTAGTTGTTTCCCGCTATTCCGCGAGAATGCCTTCTATGCCATGTTTGCCTCAACTCCTGCTTTCCCGGGACCTACACCTTTGTATCCCGTGCGGAGGTAGCATTCTATGCTACCTTCATGCGGATACAAATGTGTTGGCACGTTAATATTTGTAAATTATTTTGAAGTACTTGCATTAGTGATCTACGTGCATATTCTATTTCATTCATTGGCGTAGTTACACATAGTTGGCCGCTTTAGGCCACAAATGATCATATAGTATTTTTTGAATGAATGATTCATTCTGGTATTCACTGTGAGTTATGCTGATTTCTAGAACCGATTTTAAAAATGAGTAAAAAGCTGACGCTGGTGAATATGAACAGCAGTCGCACTCAGAGTCAAGAAGCGTTAAACAATTGCTTTTCTTGATTCCGGCAATTAACAGGTTAGTCATAGTACGATCACGCACCTAGTAATGGCAGTACAATGGGTCCAGATTAAACTCCTCTATTGCCTCCGCCCTAGGTCAAGGCAGACACTTATTTGGAGTTTGGTATTGATCAGAAAAGCTTAAGCTAAACACGAGTATATAGGTTAATTTGGTCGTCCTGGTACGCTTAAGGTACGTACGGACTTTCCACCAACCCTCATGATCAAAACCAAATTTTTACGTTGCTCACTAAATAACGGAAATATGTATCTATATACAGACAGATAACATTAACGAAATAAGTCAGTACTGTGTAATTTGACTGAAAATTGCCTAATTCATCTCATTCACTTACATGCTCTTGTCGAGAAAAATAGGCATGCTGACCACAAGCGCCCCAATGCTCAGTTTGTTCAGGTACCGGGGGTAATGTAATTGGTGGCTGAAATTTAATCCGTCCATTTAGATGGTTTCAGCTTCCTCCGAAATATACGTTCGTTGTCGTGTGTAACTAATGATTAATAAATGCTGACGTATCCTCTATGCTTAATCCGTAGTATTTTTTTTATGAGTTGCAATAGATTATTCGGAACCATTCCGCTGGAGCTGCTTTTATGATAGATTTGAGCGTTCTTACGCATTAAACGGCTGTAGAACTTCGTCTCCTGTGCCCAGGTTGGTCGGGCCTTTTTTCTTTCTTTTATCTATCTTTTAAGTAAATTGTTTGAGGAAAACTGTGGGTGTACAACACAAGCTGCTGTTGGAAGCCTATATATTAGCTTACCATATTCTGCGAACGAAGGAAACGTACGACGTCTGAAAATAGTTGCCTTTGGTAGTACTTAGTATTTGTAAGTCGCCACACCATGATATCAGGAAGGTTAGCTCTCTGCTCTTCGAGGATCTGAAAGGTGCATAAAACAAGGGCAAAATATTTGTTAATACTCGTAGATAAAAGGACCAAACACTTAATAGAGTCAATAGCTTTAAAACGGTTTTGATTGATAATGGTTCCGTAATACCGTAGTTTTTTTACATAATCACCTTCACTAGTGTGGCAAAACAGTCTACCGTGTTCTGCGATAACCTCAAGTTAAGCAGCTCGTTTACCCTCGTTAGTAGTCTGCACTTCTCGTAGTCCTCAAAGTTGGAACTTTCAATGGTATTCTTGAACAAAGTCTGTAGAGAAGTTCGGGCAACAGCCGAATCCCCAAACACGCGGGTCATTACTGTTGCCATATTTCGGCGAATTGGTAAAAGCATGAAATTATAGCGACGTACGTAACGAATCTGAGCTGGACAAGAAGCTTTTGGGCACTTCGGAAACTTGAGCTCTTGACGGTGACGAATTGCGAGCATCTGCTCCTCCATATATTTGTCTAACCATTGTACTTCGAAAATGTGATTGCACGCCAGTTGTATGTAACGGGCATTACCCTGTTGTACGCCGTCGGCTACCGGAATGTGGTGTAGTTTGTCTTTATCGCAGACGCGGCACAAGGTAAAACACGACTCTCCACATAGGCCCGCACAATTATGCTGACAATTTCTTGTTTTTCTGTAATTTCTTTGCCTAGTTTTGCTACCATATTTAATAAACCTTTTACAGGGTTCATTACAGCGACAAATACAATTCAAGCATATGTCTTCAGCACAAGGCCTGATATGGTCACATGGGTGAAAAGGCTTCTTATCACATGAATCGAACGGGTTATCGTTAGACATGCATGGCGTTGCTCTTTGTGTATGATGGCACCGATGAGGTTCTACGACTTGACATGGTAAACACTGATCGTGACAAATCGATGGGCACTGGTGTCCACAGAACAGGACTTTTCCGCACTTGTTTGGACATTCCTTATGGAATGATCCCTGTAGACAGCTTTCGCAATCGCCTACCATATAATGGTTAACAAACAAAAATTTCACTCTAACTTAGTATTAGAATACGTTAATAATACTCACTAATAGTAAGTCACATATAAATTATATAATGTTAGTAGCTAACTAAACAATAGTGCTTCAGCTAAACAGAAAAAAAAAGTCAATTTGCCTCAGTAGTCTCGAAAAGAAAATTTTATTTTTGTTTGTTTTTAATCCTTTGTCAATTATTGACATTTGCAAACATTTCATCAAAATTACATCTTTAGCTTGTTTACTATATAGGTAGTTATGCGTTTCCCTAGTTATGCGTATTGCACTTTACTAAGAAACATCTTTAGGATGCATCAACTACTATCTACAACTCACCTTTACACTTATGGCCACATAGAAGTGTTTGTTGACAGCGCTGCTGGCAAGCATGTTTCAACGCCTCCTGATCTTTTTGAGCCCAACAAGGAATCAATACTTCGTGACTGCAAGGAGTTTTATCTACTTTGACCATTGTTGTGCAAACCTGCGGCTGATTGCATTTTCTTTTATGAGTGTGTCCACAATCGAGCGTCTCTTCGATTTGGAAATTGCAAATACCTCTAATGGAACTTTCTGTGGAAGAAAGCATATATCTTAATTTGCAACAAGCGATCCGGACGATGTGTCCGCAAGAACTTGGATATGGTACCAGCTCTTTACAATTAGCCGTTAGATTAATTCTGTCCGCTTTTGCATCTTGCATTTTGTTGCAGACTGTTTTCATCTCATGCCCGCAGAATAGCTTTACAGAGCTGATCGCAGTACATTGGCGATCAATATCCAGGCCATCAACCTGACAGGCGACTTTGAGATCGTGCTTAAATGTACACTGAACATCCTTAAGTTGATTACATTTAGCCCGGAGACTTTCAACATTATTTCTGTCGTTGCAGTGAACGGTTATGTTATGACCACATCTGAGCTTCAATGAAACCTTTTCCGTGCAGGCTCTTTCCAGACTAAATGGGTCTTTCCTGTCACGACACACGATTGTTACCTTGTGGCCACAAGGTGAATCTTCTGTCACGAACTCCATGCATTTCGGGCAGGACTTATAACACTGGCTTTTGCACGGATGCTCACAGCCCAGAGATCGTTCACAGGGCAAATGACACATAACTTTGTAGACAGGCATAAAACACCTAGACACAAAAGTTCTTGTTAATAGGAGGGTTTGCACCGCAACAATTGTCGCCTAGCTAAACAATTGTAAATTTGAGTTACCGTTGTGCTAACTCAGTCAAATAGAATCGTCTGCAAATAGTTCTGGATTGGTAGAGGGTGCCCAGCTGAAAGCCTGCACAGGAGGCATGTTCTGGAAGTGTGTTCAGAATGAAAAATTAGGCACCTCATGGAAGACGGAGAATGCCGAGTACAAATGGAACTAACTTATATAGCGTTACACTATGTGTTTATGCGTTAAATGCCACAAAGCCGATAGTCGGTCGAATACAAAACAACTGAAGACTAGCTTTTGAAATTGACTAAATATTTTATGCAACCCTCGATAAATTCAAAGGTACTTGCGAAAACTTAAGCAAATTCGACCTTAAAGCCTGCGTAAGTATTCGCCTGTAATCTAAGTACTCTCTGCTGCACCTCATAACAAAGCAGAGTCAAAACAAAAGTGCTTCTAGAATCGTACTTGTCTGATTTTCATATGCAGATAATAGAAATGGTGGTTTAAAAAGCCACACAAGTGGCTCAGAAAAAACATCCTTATAAGCGCTTTATATAAAGGAACTAGAGAAATGCACAGTCAATAAACCGGAACGACCAATTATCGTAATTATATCTTTTATATTATCAATTAAATGTTCATTTCTTTAGATATAATCAATCCTCTATAGAGACAAGTCGAACAGCAGTGACATACTAGATAGGTGAAGGTCTCCAATAGTACTTCTTGATGTTAGCCTAATACGATACAAAGCTTGTATCAAACAGCCCTAATAAATGCCGTACAAATAGCGTCAAATCATTCTCATTCGCTTATTAAGTCACACAATAATCAAAACAATTTATTTCAATAGGTGGTGATGCTAGCAGGCCCTTTTGAGTGCAAAAGGGAGGAATGTTAATGGCAACGGGCCTGGAAAGGAAGAATGTCGATACACTATCAAAGTCGAAAGAGAACGGGTGCTTATGTGAAAACGAGTGCCTAGTAGTATTGCCGTTTATCGATTTGTCTCCATGCAGAAAAAAGGTTTTTGATAACTTCGGTTTGCAATCACACAGCAAGTTAAAATTGTAGGCAAGCAATTAGCTACGGTAAATGTCGGTAGTACAGATTGGTAAATAGAAATTTAAATTTAAACAGTTCTACCTGGCTTGAAACCCTCAAAAACAGTTTGTGCTTTTTTTGTTATATCTTACATGACTTTACGTTAAGTAATAAAGCAATAAAAAAATGTATCATACAGAGATGATGCAATTGAGTACGGCGATACCATGGCAGAAAGAAGTTCCTTGTTGACTATTATCGAACACGCTACGCTTTTCGGGTCTTATATAATATAGTATCGATATATTACTAGCAATATTGAACAAAGCAATAATTATCCATTAACATTTTGCGGCAACCCATGAGCTCTTGGTAAGTATATTTGTAATAGGTGTAGGTGCACTCATGTGACTTACGGGACGACCGCCTCATGGTCACAAGGTAAACGTTTTACCACTTTCACGGTACAATCTCCACACTCTTCGAAGCACTGCAATACGCACGGATGATTACACTCCGAGCGAGGACGTCGGCAAGCCTTTAAGCACCTGCCATTACAATAAAGCGACTTTTATGAATGATAAAAGTAAAAATTTAAATGATATGTTTGCTTTTATAGGTACTGAGTTAAACTAATCGTCATAATAATATAGAAGTGTCTATTTGGTTGGTCACCATAAAATTCTTAGTTATTCACCCTTCGAGGGCAATTATTATTTTTTCGGTATCGCAATGATAACCGTGACACTGTAAAAGCCGAAACGGCCCTCAGCAAAACTCTCTCTCTCTCTCTATATATATATACATATCTAATATTCAAACTGGGATCCCATATTTGGGACTTGAACTCATTCTAGTACTGCGCAAAATTGCTAACATGCTTCTTTGTTGTACGTTCATACGTATACTACACTTGGTGCATCTCATATGCACATAGTACAGCGGGTTGCACCGCAGGTAGAAATTATGATTTACCCTCTTAAATACTATAATACTTACTTATACTCTACATGATTAGCGTCGTGCTTGTGGCAGGACATGGTGCAAACATGTCCACACTTTAAACGAGCGTCACACGGCTGATCACATCCACCATACGAAAATGCTGCAAATTCTTCTGGTGTTGACGCCAACAATTTTCGGCTGTGACGTTCGCAAATGAGTTCAATACCTAACAATAAGCAAATGTGGAACCGTATCTTTCAATAATCGCGTCAAGGTCAGTGACGCTGCTGCGTTCCCCTTAAGAAATCACTATTGTTGCTTAGCTATACGGCATGTATAGTTTAAATTGCTATTTATGAAAAATTATTTCAATACTTTTCATACGGCTCTTAAAACCATGTAAAGAGCTAAAATGATATGGGACCGCTTCTAGAAATCTTGGTCTAGTGACTAACAGATTTCTACAATAGTATTACGCATGACTTGACGACTTGCCTTTTTTGACACAGCCTCGATTCAGCAACTTAGCTGATATGGCGTGCCAAGTCCCGGAGGCTTTAGCAAGCATTGCGAGGTTACCGACGCAGTAGAGGCCCTTCTTGGCTCGAGATAAGGCAACGCATACCCTATTCTCACGAGACAAAAACCCAATCTTTGCGTCTTCGTTGCTGCGCACAAAGGAAGCAATGATCACCTCGCTTTCTTCGCCTTGAAAGTTATCAACTGTAGTCACACGAATACCTGCAAGTACGTTCGCCAAAAAAATGATCGGAAGAATTAAGATTTGTTTGACGTTCTGCTGTAGTTCATCTTATCCATTCACCCCGACGTCGTCTCTACTCCGACGCTTGGAAGAGATACATATGATGATTTGATGAGTGTTTAACAGTGACTATGTTCTCAGCTGACCAGGCTGTTTTCAACGAAGGTATTGTTATACTTGCTGTTCTTCAATTTATATAGAAAATAGATTGTTTTTTGCATCGCAATAGCATCATGCTTCAATAGTGTCAGAAATACAATTATATTTTTCCAATTATTGCAATACATTACTAAAATTATTTGGAACGATGTAGTATTATTATCTAGGTAGTCGCAGTCTTGCCTTCGAACGGTGATACTGGCTTTTGGTGGTCAACAGCAACTCGCCGGGTAGTTTTCTTGGGCCCCACTGTTTCATTTTTCATACTCGTGTAGTTCATCTCATTGTTGATCGCTCGAAATTCATTGCGGATTGTAAACACCTGCGCGAAAGCGATACGGGATATAAATGTGTTGTAACTTTAAATATATTTAAACTTTAGAACTTAAAAAAAAATAAAAACATTGCAACTCTGTAACAAAAAAAAATTGAATCATATTTACGATGAAATTATCATTCAAAGGAAACTGGTACTAAACGATAATGGATTATCAGCTCCCAGGACGTATTACTTCAAACCTAAATGATAATAATAGTAATTACTATTTGTGGTTTTGTTTATTCACTGGTCTAGTCAGGTATAAATATACCCGGTCTAACAATGTTAATCATAAAATTAGCTTATGTTACGGCTGCTCTTCCGCATATGTGACAAAGACTTCAACTTAAAGACAAATTAAATCATTGAATATCCATGTTTTTTGGTACAATACAGAAGGTCGTATTGCACCACAATACCAATTATTGCAAAAAAAAGAACATTTTTCATATTTTCAGCTCCTGCATTGACTTCCTTAGTACGGAATATCCGTGAGTGCCTAAAACACTTGCGTCTGTGCATAAAACCACATAAAGATGTCCCTTGAAGTTCCTTAATGTACGGTGTACAGTCCCGTTGTAACAATCAGGCCTCAAGACAAACATTTGTAAAAAAAGCTTGATGGTTTGCATCATTCAAGATGATATTCTGTCCCGATTCTTGTAAACTTTATGTGGCTTGCATCTAATTGTAATCCGCTATAAAAAACCGAATATAAAACTCATTAAAATCAGAGCGGATAATTTCATAGTACTTCAGATTACAGAGTAACCATTTTAGGAAACCAGCAGTTATTCCGTTGACTTGCATCGGAGTCGAAGAGCTTTAGGCATGGCGAGTCTACGATATAGAGTTGTTATACAGAAGATTACTGCTGCCGTCAATAGGAACAGCTCAGCAAGATGTGCCTTTTTCTCAGTCTGCTAAAATAAGTAGTTATGCAAAAAGGGTCGTATCTGCGTCTTTATTTTTGAAAAGGTTATTGTTGTAAAAGTTTACGAAGAGCGGGAAATGTGAACACTTCCCGAAATGTGTGTACTACAAGATACTGTGGACACGTGCGATAGGTAGTGGAGGTAGGTACATGGAGAGAGGTAGTACTAACATATTAAGCTGAAGGTGAACGATTTAAAACAAACGCTGTGCTCATAACTGAAGGTGTCATAACGCGAGTGTTGGTGAATGAAATTCCGAAAGATTTTATTCCACATTGTTTGTTCGTCTAACGAGGTGAAAGCTGTGTCGTAAAAAGACTGGTATTCATGAATCCTTCGCAGCAAAAGAGAGCTACCACTAAATAACATCATTACATCCAATTCGCTTCCCTGTCCATCGCCCGTGCTGACTAAATTCCTGCTTTGAATGGCATTAGTTTATCTGATGGTTCAAATAAATCAGAGCATTATCTACATTTTTTTTGGATCACTGATGATACTGTGTATATCTTGTTCAGCGTAAAAAATTCTCAGCGCAACACCACCATCGTCGTCGTCGAGCGTAAAATCATGACCCGAATGCCTTTTTAAACAAGGATAATTCTTTGAAAGGATAAAAGACAACTACGGACGTTGTTCAACTATGGCGAGAGGTAATAGGGTTTTTTAAACGCCAGGAATGCCGCTGAAGAAACTGCCCCAAATTCAACCATCGAATGGATGCGTGTGCAGAAAGGGCAGATGTGATAGCCCTGCCGTCCTATCCCTTAAATTACATGCATTTCGAAGCGGGATGCTCTAGTAGCCTAGCAGACGGCCATTCATTGCTAGTGTGCTCCCGACTGTGTGGACGTTTATGGGAGCATGCGTACGGCTGTATGATTATTGTTCGCATCCCGCGCAAATCGTACTTAACCAGACGACATCAATATATGAACTGTGTAAGGGTTGGTCAGGCTGGCGTTTGGTTAATGGTGGGCTAGAAAAGCTTGAGGCTATACCAGTAAACTGCTACTGGTCACATGCAGAGGTACTGTCGGACTGTCTCTGCTTATCTTAGCCCGAAAGTTGGAATTTCATACAGCTGATTTCAGCTGTATGAAATATCGAAGTATTCAACACTGGCGCAGCCACCTTATTACCCAGGTAAAGTGGGTTTCGTTGACCTGACCCGATTAAAGATAAACAAGCTTTAGGATACGTGCTGATGGTTGGGTGACTCCAGTGGGCTTCAAGCATGGTCCTGCAGCTTTTGAAGTGTTACCTGAGAGGCGAAAGTTCGCTGCATGGGAAAGGCTCACTCGTTGATCCGCCTAAGTTTAGTTCGTGTCGCCATTTGGATGCAGCAGGCTGTAGAGCGATTCAGAAAGAAAGCTGTCGTCAGCAGAAGAAACCACTAAAAGCAAGACTTTTTAGCGAAGCAGCAACTGATCGCAGAACCTTCGCAGAACGGTTCTGTGACGGTGAGTTTCGGGCATGGCGATAAATCGATCAATCCAGGTGTCGAGTCGTCTGAGTCGGGGTTAGTTGGCGGTTTGCCGATTAATGGTTCGAGATACGCTATGCGATATTGCTGCGGAATGGTGCATCCATTAGGTTGCTCATTGTTGATACCCATCATAAGCGTCGGAAACAGACGAAGATAGATGCCGTACTTAACTAGCTGAGGTATAAGTACTGGGTCGGTCGAACTTAAGTGTTGGTCAGGTCGATATAACTCAGAGCTGTTGGCGAAAAAATGGCAAAACCACGCCTTATTAGAATTCTAGGGTAATTAATCTGACCTGTGACGCTACAAGTATATTTTAAAAAACTGAATATGTTTAGATTTCTACAGTAAAAATAAATTGTATGTGACTTTTAATTAACGAGTTGTAGTGTGATCTTATAACAAATAATAAAATGAATTTTTTAATTACAGTCTCTTTGGCATGTCTCACAGTGAACCCTCGTATTGTATAAGCGGAAGAATTACCTTTTTTTTTTTCAGTTTAGCGTATACGTACTCGTGGCTTGGGACAGTGGCGCCTCTCTAAAAATGCGCCCACAATCGAAATAATAGTAGCAAACCTTATCGCTGTAGAAGGCCAAGCTATGAGTACTTGCAGGCGAGACAGGAACGGGGAACCTGACCACCGCAAGGCAATACTGAACAGATTAGCCCGCAACAGCGGGCGTTGGCAAGAGACCACGGATAATAGCTTTGCTAGTGATTGGTAAAGGTGTGTCTTTGTGAAGCTTCAAAAAGAGCCAATTAATTAAGCACAAATCGTGGACCATTGTTGTGGTCACAATGATGTAAATTGCGGACAATTAACCGTTCGTAACAGTCACAATGAATACAACTCTCGAAAGCCGCCAAAAGTTTTGTCCAAAAAACACAACACCCTGCGCCGACTGCATTAGACTTTTTGACGAAGACCACATGCAGCTGTTACTAATACTGTGTTTAACCGTTTTTGTTACTTTGAATAGGCCTCATAGGCCGAACTTGCATACATGACTTCCTATAAAGTCTTCTCTTACAATACTGGTAAAAAGCTGACTCTGTCCATTGTTGCTTAATAGTCGAAAACCGTTTGTGTATCTTGATTGTATAGGTGACACATCAGACTATCGTAATTCAGATTAGGTTAAAAAAGCCTCGATGCAGATCTAGGCGATGAAGCAATTATATTCTAAATTTGTGTTCGATGATTTCGATTCATTAACCACTTGCGGTACATGGCGATCAACATTCTAAACCGCGCTTCATATTGCCCATCTATCCTTAAACGAATGGGTAAAATTGAGCAGCGCAATTTGTGACAGAAGACCGTATCTTATCGTTCATTCATTTTAACGATAACAGAAGTTGTTGTTAACGCCAATGATACCTGTCTCGAATATGTCGTCAATATAACGATGTCTTCAGGTTTGTAGTCGTGCATTCGTAGATGCAATGCAAGTCGTGCCGCAAAGCGTGCTTCAAATACGTTAGATTTCGAACGGGAATCATGTTCGGCATCTTCAGCTTCAGTATGTGTGACGAAGCACAGATCTTGAGTTACACCTGTGTGAAATTACCGACCTATTAACATAGAATTGTTTTTGGACTTATGCTTCTGCCCGAATGTGCGTCATCTAAGCCAAATTAGCTCTAACATGAAAACGACTACTGCTGCTGCTATTACATCTTAACAATAGATTTAGCAAACGTAAAATACTAAAAGCAACTTATTGCCACCTTGAAGCGATATTATCGCATACCACGAACGTGTTCATATTGGTAAACGCTGATATGCGAGAAGTAGTCTTCATAGATCGTCGGTACAAGAAGTTGAAGGAATTCGTCTCGCATACGATGTTGCTCTTGTAGCCGGACGTACGGTAGTCCATTTGTGAGTAGCCTTTCAAAAAGCGACACCTGCATTCCAAAATCTTTGGCAAGAGCGAAGACTGTAGTCGAAGGCTGCAGCTGTTGGTGGTCACCTATAAGTGGTACATTTAAAGAGCATTTATAAGCCAGAGTATAGGTTTTAGTGGTTGTTCATTGCCTCAATCTGTATTATCTGGAGTATTTACATTTGTTGCATTTTTTCTCCACGTAACGCAGTTTAAGCGCCAACCGACGCAGAATTCACAATAACTTATGTCACGTTTTGATTGCGCAATCAATATCATGAATTTAGTAAAAAAAAGAAAAAGTTAAATTCAGTGCTCGTGATAAAAAATCGCAACATGTCGCATATAATGAAACGGCAATTATTGTATGGACACGTTTCACGATGGAACGTTACTAGGTCAAAAAAGTACCGAGAATTTGCCACTTTGCGTAGTGCTGATACCTGAATTGTCCAAAACCCAGTTCTTTCTTTTCAAGTAACTCGTCTAAGTCAATACACGTGTGCTACCGTACCTTGTTGCCCTTAAACAGCTTTTAAACCCATTGATTTGGCCTTGCTTTCTTTCTTCGTATGTCTTTTTTCGGGCGTTTAAGCATTAAGAAGGAAAAAATCAGTCGTCAAAACTGTTCTGAGCACCTGATTTCCTACCTAAGGCTGAACAGGAGGTATGTTCCTTGGTATTGTATTTCCATCTTTCAAAAAATTCAAACGCGGCCGGAAGTTTGTCACTCAAATCCTTGTAGGATGCGAGACTCACGCGTTCAACTACTCAAATGTATGTGGATAGCAGGCGAGAGTCGTGTCATGGTCTCGGACGTGAGCTGGGCGTCTTATCGGTACTTCCTTGACCTTGTAGTATTTTCTATTCGAGTGATAAGTTCAATACCTATTAGTATCAGCTGCTTCGTCTGAGGGTTGAGAGCAGTTATCAAATGCGCTTCGAGAATTTCAGCCGCCTCTTCAATAATGATAATCTCACAAGCAAGTCTCTGCACCAAACGATTATACTTCGCTGCGCCTGTCGTAGTAATGCCAATTACGGCTTTGTATTGTGTCAGTTCCAAGTCAAGCGCTAACTCCAGCTCATTCAGCTCTCGTATTTTTTGACTGAAGAACAACAAACACAATATTGCTAGATAGATGACATTTCGCTTATTCAACTGGTTTATGGGTTATGGAAACTGAAATAATCGAACATATTAGAAGCTGTTAAACCGTCAACTGACAACTGTCAAAGTTGGTAGAAAATTTTATACTTTTTGAATGTGACATGATCGAATTGTCTGTATCCACCACAGTGATATGAAACAAAGTAATGCTATTGAAATTATTGTATCAGGATGGAACGTCAGTTATTCTAATACTGGGATAAATATGTGTGTTTTAAGAGTAGTAGTGGATATGGATATCACGAGCAAGTCTATACATCAATCACACAAAAATAGAAGAACTACTTGATGTATGAACATCGGACTACGTAACGTAACCAGCGTAAGGAGTAGATGACATTTTTCCAGGTAAAGAAATCCCTGCACGTACGTGCTAATAGCACGTAGATACTAACTAACCTTAGTTCCCGTCGCAACTCCGAAAGTCCAGCCTTCAAGCATTGAATAACCAGCATAATCTTATCCTCTTCTTCCATGGGCTTTCTCGCAGCGCTTTCAAATTCGGCTAAAGTTTCTCGACTTACATAAATATAATTAGCTGTTTGTGCTCTTGCGCAGCGTGCAAGGTACTCGGAAACCTGTATCAGTGCGTACTCCCAATGGTACTTACGGTATATTAGCCAACGTTCGTCTAAGTTAAGTTTCAGCTCTTCCGGAACGTGCTCACCCTTTGAAGATAATTTACTTATTTGCTCCACTTTTAACTCAGCCAATAATAGATGGTGGATATTGTCAAAACGCTGTTGCCACGATCCTAGTCGGGCAAATACAGCCTGCTCGTGCACCGTGTTGAAGATTGCAGAGTTGGCATCCTCCTTCTGCTTATTATCCTGCAAGGCATCACCACAGCATTCACTACTAGAAGCAACTTACTGCAACGGCAGTAACTCCCATGTAGGCTTTGTTTATACAAAAAATGCATCAATTGTTTACAGACCATAAAAATCCCCATGCACCTGCTTATTTATTATTGTATATATAAGACGTTTATTCAAACCAGCAGGCTAATTATATTATATGTAATACTAACATGAGCAAACAGAACTTTACCTCAAGTGTTCCACGATCTTCGTCACTTAAATAGCCGTCCTCTTCCTTGTCGAATTCCTCTGCATGTTCATTCTGTGCTTGTTTATCTTGGAACTCCTCAATAACGGTATCGAGTTTAATGAACTGATGGAATGGGAGCTTCAGCTTTTCATAAAACACGTCGAACGTTTTCCGTCTAAAATTTTTTAAAGCAGAGACTATTTCAAAAATGAATATCTCATCCAAGTAAAAATATTCTATTTTTCTAATAAAAACGACTATAGCGACCAATAGACGCGCGTGTATGTAAGACATCGAATATTTTTCTACGACCTGGTACTTAATTTGTGTTTTCTCTGAGCTACGAGAGACCAACTCCTTTGTGTATGTAATGTATAAGAAAATACCATTAACTCAGTTGATCTGGTAGAACTGTATGAAGATTTTGTCAACGGATTTAGCACTTACTGCGGCAGCTCCGATTACAACATGGACTTAGTAATCATTCACTATAGACCATTAATGTTGTGCATAAACAGACATCTATGACTCGCATGCAGGGCTGAAATGTCTTCATTCGAGAGTCACATACTGTTAGATTTATCTCACACAAGTTTTCTGGGCGGTAGAAGCCCGTTATTGTTCGCGAAGACTCGGTCATCATCGCAAGACTGCACTTGCCATCCGAAGAGTCGCCAAATACATGCATCGTGAAAAGTTAATGTCTTATGCATTAGAACGCACCCAAGTAGCTGGTCGAGCAAACTTTGTGTGTCCTGGATACGCTCTTTCAACCCATCGCAGCAAACATGATTCGATCTGATGAGTTGACGAATACTCTCCTCGTTTACGTTATTTACGCTGAACGGTGGTTCCGTGGACCGTTCGTGTCGACACCGTAGTTTCCACAGATTATAAATTTCGACCGACTCATTTCGACAGCGACCCCCTATGCGAACTATGTTTTTCGTAATTTTCAGGATCGCTAAACATTAACAAAGGTGACGGAAATTGTTAGTCAACGTTGTGCGTTGATGTCGTAATGGAGAAGACGAAAACGACAAATTGAAGTGCAAATCTGTGCTTCCTTGTCGACGATTTAATACTTCGTAGTTATTATAATAAATGTCTGTTATATCTAGTGTGGCTGCACGTTCGCATCTGATCTTAACGTGCCGTAATTCTCTATATCTTTTTACTCAGTTTTCTTTATTTTTTAGAGACTACAATAGGTGTCATTCTGTTTTAACTACATAAATCACTGGATACTAGCTGTTCGGCTTTGCACATCCTTGCACGCTACAAGATGGGATTCTTTGCGCCAGGCTTCATATCACACATACACTTTTATATGATTTCCACGTTCGCTCTTTGGGAAAAGATCAAGTACGTATCATTCTATCTAAACGACCATCATCACAATCAAAAAAATCATACATTTAAATTGAAATGCTTGAATTTTTTAAACAGGTATTCTCGGGATGTGAAAAGCTGGAACTACTGTATTGGTTCATAAGCCAATGCGCTTTTTCAGCAACGGTATAGAAAATGGAGATATTAGCCAAAAAGTAAAAATATAAAAGAACAAATCGTATTAATAAAAGAAACTAAGTATCCGCTACCATTATTCAGGTATTTGTCTATATAATTAAATGAACAAATCAATACCTAAATGAGAAAAATCGAGAAAACTATTCTTCTAAAAGAAGGCACCCTTGTGTTACAAATCGTGCAAATCTTGATGAGCCTAACCTTCAAGAAACTGATCGAGCGCGTGGTTGCTGTAGCAGACAATTAACAACGGCTTAGAAGTGATAGAGTTGAGCAACAGCATCTCCACAATTTTTAGTCCGAGGAACGTTTTCCCTGTACCTGGGGGGCCCTGGACAATGCACACTTCCTTGTCAAAGGCGGTGATTAACGCCTGCATCTGGGCCCGATTGAGACAAGTGTCTTCCACCGGGGGCCAACCATGCGAGCCTCGAATATGAAACTAACACAAAGCAAACAGATTCGTTTGTTACAACTGCAAGAAGACTGGGAGAACCCTGTATCCTTGAGCGAAAATAGAGCACAAAAATGCGTTACCACGACTCTTATTACTACAGTTATTATATATTACAACTGTAATAGTAATATTAAGTTCCATATAATGAAAGTGACAGAATTTAAATTCTCTCGGTATCTGCTTGGTAAATTCTCAGTCTTTATTGAGGCCTGGTATAACAAGAAAAATTTAATTTATAATTGTAACTCAATGTAGACAACGTGAAAAATCCACCTTGGTGTCCTCATTTCTGTCTTGCTCGATTCTGTACATAGGGCTAGAGGGGCTTGATCTGGTGGTGGATTTGAGAATCGGCGATACGTCCAGGATTTTCCCAGAACCCATGTACTGCGGCGGACGAATCTCCTTTTCAACCATAACAAGATTTTTTGCAAAAGGGAAGTTTTCCGACTCTATTATTTGAAGAACTGTAAATCAAATTATAATAACATAGATTTCAACTTTATCAAAATACAATCATTCCAAACACATTTCTCCATATACAACATAAATAACTTGGATAACATGAACATATGCTAACAACTTATACGCTTCAGCATATACAAACCAGCTAGATTGTGCCTGTATGTTTCAAAATAGGCTCCGCTGCTTTCGATGAGCGAATAATCGACTCCCGTCTTGAAATAAACCGCATCTTCACACTGACAAAGTTCGAGCTGAAGCACGCCTATACGAAAGAAGGATAACACTCATCATAACGGCTTCTTCACCTACTGAACTTAACTTATCAGACATTCCGTGGATCGATTAAGACACATATATTGTGCCGTTACTAAGAGCTTATGGAATCTTATGTAGTTCGTTGAAGTTCGTTAAGCCAGAGTTGTAGCTTTGAGGTAAGAAAGACTTCAGCAAATCTGATTTAAATTATTCGGTTTAAACTCGTACTACTTTATACGTAGCTTTTAGGATTTCCGACAAAAAAGTAAGCATATTTCCTGAATAATCTGCTCTAAAGCAAATATTCATCAGCGTCAAATATTTTTTATTTTATACCTTTTTTCAAATTATCGGGATCTCTCCCGATGACTGTTAAGAAGACGATGGTTTCGAAGTTGTCATGCGACGCGCCGATGAGCGATCCGTTTATCAGACGCTTGCTTCTTTCCCAATCAATTTGGCTAAACTCATGTTTGCTCAGTTGCAAGACGACACGTTTTGCACTCCCAAACTATTTGAATTAAAAAAGATCGATAAGCTTAATGAGTCAATGAAAACACCGGGGGGTCTGGAACGTGGTTAACTAAAAATGCAGACCATTTTTTTTTTAAACAGTTTATAGATTTTATCAAACGGCATTATAAAACAGAGATGACAACATTTTTATTTTATTATGTTTTAACGGGTATTTCACAAACAAAAAAAATAGGTCGAATGTTAATTTCACGCAGCATCGCAGGACAGGTCAGTGTACATGTTTTTGCCATTAAATGAACTTCTAGCAGACGCTTACCGTCCTTTCTGAAAACTCTTTACTGAATCTAACGTCCAGATAGAATCGTACGTCCTGAATGCTATTTAACTTCTGCCGTCTGTTCTGGAGCTCCAATCCACGAAATTGCTGCAGACCAACCCGCAGCGGTGTAACGTAGTCCTCCCGGAGAAGGCGAAACTGAACGTCCAGGTAATCTTCTACGTCACTATAGCTTCCTATGATAAAAACAAGATTAGCAATAATAATATTGTTATTGTTATCAGCTTGTCATAAGGATAGTTGGAGGAGTTGCAAAAATTACTGAACAAAGTAACGTGTGGAAAATTAATTCTGTATTAGACTACGCTTCTCTATTTAAACGATTCTAGTCTGATCTCTATGCACGTATCTGCACGCATGCTAGTCAAAGATTCGCTAGCTTAAATAATCAGCAAGGACAAACCTCGATCAACGAAGGGCTTCGAAGTCATCAAAGATTCTTCTGCCAAACTTACTTGGTAAAAACCGAAGTTTAGTAATAATAATTAAACCTTATGCTGACATTGGCTGTAAGGAACGTTTATTCTTTGAAATATCAAATGAAGCGAGACCCCTTATCGTTTTTCCAGCTTGCGTGTACAAATCACCTAGACATTATATACGGACCATCATCGATATTTCAGCACACGCCTAAATCCGGCAGCATCCCCAACTTCCTCACTTCTGCGACAATTTACATAGTCCAGGTAAGAGCGGTACGATTGAGGCAAATAAATGCCTTGCGTTATTAACTTCCATGCCACAAATTTATAAAAAGCATTATCAGTGAAGTTACTGTTAGATGTGCAAATCGATGAGCTTCCGTTGACGGAAAAATATTTCCATATCAACCTCGATTGTCTACAACTTTCCAGCTTCTCAAATTTAAAATCGATTTGGTGCATGTCCTAGTTCGACTCTAAATTTATCTTAGAACGCTACGGAATAATCGGCAGGAATGGAAGCTTTTCGTCAGCGCCAAACGTTTTATCTTACGGTTGACACTGGCCTTTTTTTCACAAGGAAAAACAAGCACGGATTGTCCGTGAGGAACAATATAAAAAACGGTGTCTTACATCCTGTACAGAAATTCGCCCATGAACCATTAGTCTTGCTATCAAAAGCATCGCGTAAGATGACGACGTAAAGATGTCTTCTGCGGTCATTACCGAAGGAAGCCATCAAAAATTGAGATTGACAGTAGCATTTAATCGATAACAGATTATGCACTTAAGAGAAGACGGTCCTAAATAAGGTTTGCATTGACGATCTCTGATCGACACTTTGTGTAATTTCGAAGTCACATTTTCAACAAGTTTTAAATACAGTGACCAAGTATAGGATCTTGTAACTCGCACCTTGAAAACGACTCATTGAATTTTACGCTCATCGATCATTGGTAAGGCCAAGCCTTACATGCTATTATTACTACGATGCTCACGTATGCATACCCAGTATGAACGACAGGGTTAATTAGAAATGAAAAGGTTTTACAGAATGTCCAAGGCGTATGGCATGCCGCCTTCAGATGCAGGATCGATTGTGATGAGATTGTGTAAGACGACGTTCTAAAAACACTATGCAAGAACTGCTTAAACGTCTTCAATAGATTAAGGACCAATGCGCGCTTTGCTGAAGGGTTCTTCTATACTAATTTTACAGTCACTAGAAACGCATTGAATATGCAACAGAAGTAGAAACAAAAACCTGCCTGCACAACGTCTTCGCGTAGGGTACTTTGCTTCATTTAGCGCGTGCAAGTTTGTGCACGAAATGAAAAATTATGAAAGCGTCGTGCAAATAATGACGTCCTTGGCGCTACCGTATCTATATATGAATGAGCTCAGTACGTTAATTAGATGGGTCAGAGCAAAAAAAGGCATACCCTTGATGATGTTTTTCCTGAGAAAAGGCGTTTCTTGATCGAGATCTGCTTTCGTTGGTAAAATGCTCATTTCGCGAAAGTTATTAGGGGCTGCCCCTGTGATGCGATAACCTCGCAAGATACGCGGTCTTCGATCTCTGGTGTTTTTTTCACTGTCCGTGGTTGAGTATCTTGTCGCGTTCAATTCCTCCTTAACCTAGAAATGAGGAAAAGTTAACATCTTAAGATCCCGTCGCACGTTTATGTAAATGTGCAATTAGATTATTAAGTTCGAATAGAGAATAGCTACACACATTTTAGAAGTAGCTGTGTAGTAGTAGCTTTTTCATCTTTTTTTTGACAAGGGAATTGTTGATGATCTGGCAAAGGCCGTTTCAAGTAAAATCAAACGATGAAAGCTGTTTATCGTAGTAAAAAACAAACGGCATGTAACTCAGGCGTATGGTGAAATTCGAATAGCCAATTAAAGTGCGTGCTTTTTTCTCAATATGCGAAGTCCCTAATGTAACCAACCTTTACTATTCTGGCCATTAGCTCGGCGGCGTTGTAGTTTCTATAATAGACAACATGTGGGTTTGTCTCGATTACGCTAAGCAGAATCTTACTTGGGATCGCCAACGCTGCCGGCTCAAGCCAGACCGCAATCTGAAAACAGTGCAAGTAGTATAGCTTGCAACATTTGCCTACCACTTGTATATATTGGTACAAACACACATCAAAATACAGAGATACAAAATACGTTCATTGCTATACTAAGTGACTAGGATAAAAATCGGTACGCTAAGTTACAGTTTTACGAATGAAACTACTATATATTCAGTAAATATAGTAACGTAATCAAGTGAGCACTAAGTAGTAAACTAAACAAACTTCAACAAATAATAAACAAAACGTTCATCAGCTAATAAAAAGTTTATATATTAGAGTCTTTTTTTTTTAGAGATGGAAATGAACAATTCGTCATACCTCAACGAGTTTAAGGGCATTCTCTATTAATAAGCTTTCTGAGACATGCGCCTGCGACGAACAACCCTGACCTTCGGTACGCTCAGGAAGAGACGAGTCCGTTGTGAAGTTTGTTAAAAAACGTGTGTTTCCTAGCAGATTTGCAGCCCTTGTAACAAAATGCTGTCCGCCTCCCTCTTTGTTCGTCAGGACATTTTCAACAAAAGCTCTTAACAGACCTGTGCCATGGGCTTCTGCACATTTTGCACACGCTGATAGAATGGCGCTCAGTTCTCCAACTATACCAATGTGAACAATTCGGTATAGAGATTACAATGTTAAAAAAGGTATTAAACACTGCAATCAAGGCGAAGTTTTTGTCCCAAAGATAAATTTTCGAAATAATTAGAAAATATAAATTTTTTTTAAAATTAATCTTACTGCATTTTCAAGCTCTTTCAATCCCACTCAACCCAGTTGTGCAAGCTACATATACCTGTAAAATTCGAGGCTAAGAGTCTTTTCCATGTGGGGTTTGCTTCAAGCGCGATGACCAGCTGATCTGGGTCGCATTCTTCTGTAAGTTTACGAAGAAGATGCTCCGATATCGGGGGATATATAGCTAGAAAGAAGCAAAAACATCTCTAAGGATTTCATGACTTTTTCCAACTTCTTTTTAAACCAGAATACGCGTAAATCGATAAGGATTGGGTATCATTTTATTCTTTCTTGCGTATGACTCTGTAAATAACCGTATTTTTGATACCTTATGTATCCGGACGTAAACGTTGGTTTGGGTGTTCTCATCAAGCTAGAATTATGGCTAAGTAAACGCATGTTCATGTTATTAAATAAGCAAAAAAGGTGTGGTACTAATAGTAGGTATGCATAAGTTGGAGGCGTGAGTGCTGATTATTGCTAAATGTCGAGTTATGAAATATTATCTTATACCCTATAAAAGATGGGGGGATGTACTGGGTTGTCGGAAAAGTATTGATCCTTGATATATCTAAACATGTTTAGAGACAAAAAAGGACACGATCAGTCCTGCCCCATTGAATCGAGGCCTCTGCATTTTTAACTTGTCGTCGGGCTTTATTTGAACCTAAAGAAAACCATAAACCTTCTAATGTGCTATTTTTCAGAGAAGGGCATATGAGTAAACATGCGAATGGAACGTGTGAACATGTGACTGTGTATGTGACTGCGATGCTGGTTTGCGGGTAAAAGCCAGAAAAGCCAATAGTACATATTTTCTTCTGATCTATCTGTAACACATCTGCGAATCTACCCCAAGAAGAAATGGGAATCAACCTTATTGGGCAGAGCACACGGCGGTGCTCACAATGACTTCTGCAATGACAATAGGTTGCATCCCTAGATCACGACAGGTCTGGATGTGTGGCCTATTCACGCGGATTTGTGCTGCAGGATGGCCTTAATGCGGGTATTGGATGTTGAAAGTAGTGCAAAGCTGTGAGGAAGCAATGAAGCACCCGACACGCGTACAAGGACATTGTGGTCCGACCAGCCTGTCAGCAGTCAGCCTGTTGTGGGGCTGAAGATACTGGCTACAAGATGAAAACATTTCGCGGGTAAGCGTAATCAAATATGATAGTATAAAAATAGTACGAAAAGCTGTGAAATGGACGTTCCTGCCAGCCGACGATGAAGTTCGCCTGAGTATACGTACATAAGAATATATATGGAATACATGATTCGCAAGTCGCATATTTGACACTGGTCACACATCTTAGGTCAAAATGAATCTAGTCGAGTCGGCATTGGCGTTATTTAAAGGTTCAAAGTTTGGGAGTGAATGCCTTTATTTTCACTTTTAGGTTCAAGATAAGAAGCCTTAAAAATAAGTGAAATTTTTGCAAAAATCCACTGTATTTACAATTTTATTACAATAAAGGCACAAATTCTGCCCAAATCCATTAAAGAATATATGCTATTTATAATCAAAATGCGGGGAAACAGCCCAAAGATAGTTATAATATTTTCGTTCAGGAAATTTCGATGTGGAAGAAGACTCGTATTGGTCATCAATTACGAAGGAAGAGAAGTTGATGAAATGATGTGGAAGTTGAGCAAAACCAACACGTGAGCAGCCATAATATCGCCAAGAAGCTAAATATCTGTCACGAAGCAGTTTTAAATCGGCTTAAGGAAACTAGCTACAAAAAAAAACGCATGTTTACGATGACTCGATCGTGTTTTCATCTTGTAAATTCTACAAACACGCGAACTCTTTCTGATGTGATTGATCACGATTGGAAACTGGGCAAATAAAAAAAATAATGCGTTCTACAATCTGTGGCGAAGCCTAGACGATGGTAAAGAATGTTATTTTATAAGTTTAGTGACATTGCGAAGGGATTGTGCACTGAGTTGCTGCCCCTTGGGAAAACGATTCATAGAAATTCTAGCTACTAGGATTACCTACTCAGGACAAAAATCGACCTGAACTAGTAACAGACGAGACATTGTCTTCCACCATGACAACGCCAGACCACATATATATATATATATATATGTATTTTAGCTAGCCGGCAAAAACTAAAAAGCGCTTGGACGTATAGAGCAGTTTCTGCACTATAAGGTTATCATATATTTCGGTCTTTGCAGAGCTCGTTCAGTAGCGTTAATTTAGTTTCAACAAAGAGAGTGAGAACTTCTGTAGCGATGGAATTATGGTGTTACTAAAAGCCGAAGGACCAAAAAATCATCGATCAGAATAGGGCATATTCTGTTTAGTCATATTTTCAGATAGATAACTATGTGCTTTAACCGTAACTTTAATAGTATTTCAACAATCCACTATGTCATAGCTAAATGTACCCTTCAGATAAATACTGTGACTTAAGTATTGTTTTTAATAAGACTGACTATTGAGTGTGAGTTGAAATTCATTTTTGAAAGACAACGGACTGGATCGATGCCATTCGTACAATTAAACATCTGTGCTTTAGCCCTAAAACTGCATTCCTCTTTTTAACCATTTAAATATTGTAAACGTTCCCTAATGTCATGATTTTGTTTTCCCCGAATCGCTGCGATGGCTGAGGGAGTTATTGTTTTCTCCTACCTGTTAGCTACAGATCAATCGGGTATATCAAGCAAAAAAAGCGAACAAGTATCCTGATGATCTGCCTTAGCGGTCCGGGAAAACAAAGAAGAACTGAATCAGACCTTCGCAGAATATTTCCGAAATACCACATTTTAGTGTGTCAAAGAAATATTACGTTACAAGCCGCGGTCATCTACACAAAGAGCAGCCTAATGCTATATTAAACCGTATAAGCCATATTCCTATTTCAGAAACGTGTCATCAGTAATCAAAAATTAATAATAATAATAATAATAGTAATAACTGTATTTCTGTGATTTCTGCATACCATTGCTATATGGCCTTCTAGTGCCGGTGCCTCTCCTATCGTTATAGTTGGCTCCATTCCGCCGTCTGCGCGCCCCGTCGTTGGCAACACGATTTCCTTGTCCAAGGTTATCGCCACCGTCACCGTTGTCGTTACTGCGATTTGTACTCCGTGCCTTTACGGCAGCTTTTGTGTTATTTGGATGGTTGGGTTGAAATGTGTTGGCTCCGCTGAACTCTCCCTCCAGGTTTCCCGCCCCACTGTTCTTAAGGCTACGGCTCTTCAACATTTGATCGGAATCTGCGCAGTATACCAATGAGTCACAGCCTAAATCGAACATTCGTTGCTGTCTGTGCAATTACGTATTTAGATTAGCACCTAGTCAGTAACGCACATTGCTGATTCATGACATGGTAGGTTGAACATAGGGCGTAGTAGATAACTTGATTTGCCATTCTCAGGTCGGATACTATGGCTATCACAATATTTAATTTGCGGGAATGGATATCGAGATAAGGAAATGTACGTAATGACCCCCTGTGGAAGATACGAAAAAGTTTGATGGAATCAACAAAGGTATAATATGATCTATTTAGCTAATCCCGGCCCAGTCGTATCTGTCACAATACTGCACGTTATGTGATAAGGCTTGAGCTATTCTCAAATAGCACAAGGATTTCTGGACACGCTGCTAATCTGTAACGATTCATCGCTTCAAAATGATACCAAACGGAAGATTAAGAGTCTTCACTCTGCACTGTAATGAACTACTAAGCGATACGGCTTTTTGAATATGCCGCTTTTTCGTATTTATATAATGTCTACTATAGGGCTTTATTGAAACAATGCATCATGCTTGCAAGGTAGGGTATTTTTTCCAATTTTAAGGAAGTCTCGGCATTTGGAATGACCCGGTTAACTGCTTTTCGATTCGGGCAGCATCACTTAGAAACGACACGCAGACCCTCAGTTTATTTTCAACAGTTTAATGTGTAGTCCCCGCTCGCAAACACCACGCCTCATGTGTATGTATTTGCTTAATGTGCTTAGTATGAAGCCAAGTCTTCCTGGCTTCGCCTCCTCGTAATTCCCACATTCAATATGATTGCTCCATATTTTGCTCTGGTATGCAACTGTTGTGACTACTAGGTACATTGAATGTTGTTGGAAAAACAATTAAGATGACTATTAGTTTATAATGAGTTAAATTAACCTTCTAAACGACACGTTGAACTTTATCGCTCTTGCATCTGTGGTCGCTTTAAGCACATTATCACAACAAGCCTTCGGTTAAATCAAACAAACGTATCTGTATCTATAGTAGGTGGAATTCTGTGCAACATAATGGCCATATTCCGCATCTACTATGTTCTAGAACATGTAATCATTCAGGTCCGATTCGCATGATTTGTGTTTTTACAGCCTTATATCGCCAGCGTTGTAGACATTTAAAAGGGTTTCCAATGTAATCTCATCGTCAGCGTACGATACAAGTCACCGGAAAGCCATGCAACACTGAATCGCAAAGCTAAATCCGCCAAACGATATTCACTAAGATAGCACAGGTGGATTGCTAGCGTGTTTGCCTGCGGTCGTTAGGGACGCTGCTAGCCCGAATTCGAGCGTAGACGCATCATTGTGCGCTGAGAGACACCAGTTCAAAGGAAGATCTTACGGGTCAAGTGTATGACGTAACACGAAAAACAGACTGTTTTGTCATCGATTATCTCGGCCGAATCACAAGCGGAGATAAGTATGTTATTCCGGTAGGTTCAGTTCATGATAGATCTAACCGATGGCCTCGGCCTAAATGAGATAAACAATAGCATGACTCGTAATTGTATACATTTACTATTCAAGTAATATAACTTTGTTCCTCTTTTTCTACGAAGGATAGTCTACTTGACGTTGACTAGAAATATTATGATTTCATAGGAAGAACAGAGAGAAGTCCCAAAATAACATTCCTAAGTAGCATTGGCCTGATGACTCAACTCTAATCTGAAGTGGGGCTTCATTAATGACCTTCGGTTGATTCTTGCCGATCAGTTAGCGGAAAGAATCGTCGATCCAGTTAACAAATCAATACGCCTCTTCTGATTCGTACTATCAAAAACTTCTGACAGATTGAAACGTTTACAATAAAAAACGAACGAGTTTCAGTCGAGAAGTTTCACACTCACCGTACAGCCCGTGGAGTGAACTTCGTGGCGAGTACGTCGAAGTGCAACTGCAGTTTCGCTATATAACAATGTAACGCAATACTCATAGATGAGTTACTAAAATTGAGATTGACGATTATAATCAAGCAGACAATGAACGACGACTACGAACTCTAACAAACACACCGTAATCGTTTTTTGTAATACTGTTTCAAAGTAATAGCGTGCGTCAACAGGACGGATAAGCGTCGGGCATCTAGATTGCCCTCGCCGCTCACAGTAGTTGACAAGTGTGCACTAATGCACCAACGATAGCGAAGTTTTCAAAAAGGGTTAGAATATGGCTGTCAATCGGTGATATAAACAAGCCCGTCCTCTGGTTCAGCGTCCTACTCAAAGGAACACTCGTTAACTGTGGTAAATTACGTAATATGATCGAGCTGTTGAACGGATTTACCGTGTACTTCATTCGGCAGCGGTAAAATTCGAATTTTGATTCGATTCCAGCCTACAATTGATCGTTACGTCTACTTTCGGAGTACACATGTATAAAATACGAGTTTTTTTTTTTACATGGAAAATATATACAATAGTTTTTTTTCTAAGCTTAATCCTTTTTTCTCCACGTTTTGTAAATTTTTTTCGAGTGTTTCAGTTCGGCATGTTTCATACACGTCTGTCAATAGATTATAGAAGCTTAGATTGACTACAGTTCAGCAGGCTTCTTGAAATTTTTTTCCCGCTCAGAATAACAGCTGAATATATACGTACAGAGGTCTATGTAAGGGGGGGCATCTAGCTGAGTCGAAGTATAAGTGATGTTCCATGTAAGAGATTTTTCTCGCATCAATCGATAGATTTCAACGGACTGCGTCAAATTATACGCACATACGAAATTTGATAGTTTGCGGTGAAAAATCGAATGTAGTCGTCTTCTAGCGAACGTTAATGAAGCTCTGTTGAAATTCATGTAGGATAGGTCGGTTCATCGGACAAGGCCGATCGAAATACTATACAGGATGCCTACCTTGCTATTGATTTCTAGAAAAACTCAAGATGGTACTCTATGTAGAGAGGTTTTCTTTGCAACGACCTGAGTCTAAAAGGATTCACACATCTTTATAGCAACGAAAATGAATATTTTACTCTGCGAAATGTAAAAGAGTTAATCTGATATGTGTTAGCCATTCTGTAAGAAGAAAATAAGCTAAGAAAAACCTTTACATAGATTATCGTCAATTTATATTTGACGAGAAATGCCGAAATGTTCGGTGGAAGATATGCCAACGGGCTGATTTAAAATACAGTGCATGAAAAGTAAATAGAAGAAAAACCGGATATGGGATCTACTTTCTTGCGAGTGCTAATCGTGATGAAAATGTGTTTCGAACCACCCTTAAGTATTTGTTTGACTACGCTTCTAAGATTCATTGGGAAGTTGTAACGGCTAGCGTGACGGACATGTTGACTCGTATTGAACACCTTTTTCCAAATGTTTCAATATGGAAAAAAATCTCTTCGATTTTTCCTATGGAAGTGTTCTTTGCACTTTTCCTTCACGTCAATGGGTAGATGTCGACAACTGAGTGAACAAGCAATGTATCTTCCTTCCATACTTAGATTAGTACATGAATCTTAATTGATATTATATGAACAAATAATAAAAAACACGGTATGTTTGTTTAATCAATGTGAGAATGGAAGGTGAGAATGCATTCTGACATAATTTTCTAACATATTTAAAATAAAAATAAACGAAAATAGCAAAGCGTAATTCTAGTCCTTATGCAAAATACCTAACCTACTTTCAGAGGAAAACTGCAAATATTAAGAAAAACATATATTCGAAAAATGTTTTAAACAAATTGGTAAGCTTTAGTGCCGTCTCATCAGTCCATTAATAAAAAATATCAAAGTATCACATTTGCATCCTCATTCACTAATCTGTACAACAATCTACTATATGGAAAAGAAAAAAAACCTTAAGCTGTTGAAGACGTTTCGGAAACAAAATCAATCTTTATTATTTGCATCGTACGTTAATATGCCTTACTAAAAAAATTTGAGAACCTGAAAAAATATTGACTGTGAAAACTGGTGACGCCGTAGTGGGCTGGCCGACTTGGTAACAGCGACGTTCATTCAGTGGAAGGTAGACTCGCCCCAAGCACATCCCCCTGATTTTGGTCGATCTTTAGGTCTCGACAACGACCCAGGAATGGAGTCAGTAGGTTAGCTGACTCTATTAGCTGCAAGCCAACTCGATTCACGTACGTCCCGGAGAAATCAAAGGCATGTCACGACAACGTCGCGCACACCGCGTCATGTTGAGGCAGCAAGCTAATGCTATGTGAGAGCCTAAAATCCTTGAATCCTAGTAACTTTCCGGAAACAGAATTGATACATCATATCTAAATATTTATAAAGAAGAAAAAGGAAAAAAAAAGAATAGATAAAATAATTTTAAAAAAAACGTGCTGAGGTCCCGAAAACGGAATTGAATGAACTTTACAAGTCAGCCAAAGGTCGACTCAATTTACTTACAGCCCTAAAAAAGCGGTCAATAGCCGACTCTTTTTGAGTGATAGAATTAACCCGTCGGTAACGGCGAACACCAAAAGGCCTCTTGTCTACATTATAAAGATCCATTTAAGCTTCCCACGTCACGACCTGGAGTTGGCCACGCCGTCTAGCGAGACCAGCGGCATTAAGTAAAACTAATGCAGTTCTAAACCTTGTTGATATGGCCAGCTGTTCCAGTTTGAGCCATTTTGTTGTCAACCGTTCCCATTTACAAAGTTTTAGCTCGTGAGAGCAGTCAATGATCATATATCCTTAGCAGGACTAATTGCTGGCCACAACACGAATAACCAATGAAGCCACTGGCGCGGCTCAGAGTTTCTAATTGACAACTCATGTTGACAACCCATCGAAATTACAAAACTATTTGCCAGTGACTTGGTCACTCGATGTTGATGTTAGATACAAGTAGGTAGCGCTAATGATAATGGTCCGGTGTAATTTTAGTCTTAAGATTTCCTTATTAAGCTATATATATTTGTTGCTAGTATAGCGCAAAATTGCTATTTCGGTGGAATCTATATCTGAACAAGGGAAGGTCACATCGAGCTTCGTTGCTACCAAAAGTCAATAGTATATATCAGATGCAATTAGAAGATGCCTTCAAAGCATGCCACTCACAGTAAGTGATCTCTCTATCCGCCTTTCTCCTGGCTTTATCGGCTATGGGTTTGAGCGACACAGTTACCCTAATATTATGAATATGTCCAATTCGTTCTAGTTAGCATATAGAAGAATGCACCTGCCTCATGATTTTATCCTTGACGCATGCAAAACGGGTTCAGTCTAACCAAATGTGCCATAAACGCCGCCATCTTGCATCTTCTGTCTATCATGTATATACAAGAGGTAAACGCAAATACGCACCTTTATCCGATCCGAATTCTCGATACGAATTTTTCAGCCCGGCACAACTTTCGACTCAGTTCAGACAGACCGCACTGGTTTCCCCCGCAAGGCCTCAACGGTCACTATTTAAACTTGCTGTAAATATCCTTACGCCTATTTTCTATTTTTGAGTAAAGCAAAGGAATACACATGTACGATATTTAGCAAAACAAAAACATAATTGTAATTTAAAATCTTCAACGTTGCTGATCACTTGCCGAAAGTCAGCTGTAAGAAACTGGTTGCTCTTGTTGTCAGATCTAACAGGACGACAGCAGCAGTAACGAAATGAAAAATTGCTGAACCAAGCAAAGAAAACCCATTATCTAATGATTTTATTCTTGAAATTGTTTTTTTTTTTTACAACTAAATGTGCCATTGCTATAAGATCTCCACTAACTAGATGGGACTAAAATTCAAGACAACAGATAAACGATCATTATTAAGGCAAAATAACTCCCAATCTTGCCATCTCCTAATTCGCAAGCTTTTACAAATCATAAATTGTATCCAGGAACGAAATTAACTGTCGACTTATCCATAGAGAGCATAGCGCCCGTATTGCAATACTTACCTATCGTTAACAAAAGCTTCGGTCAAAATAAAATCGACTGCCTTTTCTCGTTAGCTACTGGCTAACAAACACCGTCTTTGCGTCATGTAAGCACATATCCGTTTGTGGTTATACGCGCTGCACGGCGTTTAGCATGCAGCGGACAGCTTCTCCCCTTTCACTCATTATCAGCCGTACGATATAGGGCCACTGCGAGAATAAGCCACGTAATAACGCACGGCAGCGGCGGCGGCAGCAGTAAGCCTATCTAGATAGTTTAGGGAGAAAGGGTACCTTCGTTTACATAACGTAAGCGTCTGTAGTCGTGCGAGCGCAACTCACGTGATACAGTCATTTCCGCTGCTGCTGCTGCTGCTGCTGCTGCTGCTGCTGCTGCTGCTGCTGGTCTTAACCAGCAACAGCAAAGATAAAAAATTAAGAAATCCCGGTTCTACTAACACAAAAGCAGTTGTGCGTCACACTCTGCAGTGCAGGTAACAGAAAAAGTGCGAGTTAGTCAAGTAGTTCTGTACTTACTTATTAATTATCGTGTAGATTTTTTAGTAAAGAAAAGTGTGGCGGCGGCAGCATCGCACCGTGGGATAGCGCAGTGTCGTTATAAGTTTTGATGTTGTTATTGTACCTGTCTTTTCAGACGGATCAATCGAAGTATTTCCTAAGTTTATTTATGCAATAGGCACACGTTTATCATATTATACACAGCGGCACTGTTTAAAAAGGGCTGAATAAAGTCTCCGCCAATTTCATTAATTTTATGTTTTATACTAACAGATATGGCGCCACTATTCGAAAAATTAGCGTTTGATACAACTCAAAGAAGCTGAACGTGCTCCGCTACTTTTTGAATCAAAGCATTTGTCTTATAGTCGATGTTATCATACGTAGTAGATAGATTACTTCAAATCGTTCGTGTTTCCAAAACGATAAGAACGCGACAGGGGCATGCGCCTAACCCAAAAGGACACGTTGTAAATTTTTCATTGATTTACGCAGGAAAATAATGGCTGGAGTAGGCAGTTAACATTGCTTTATTAAAACCTATTTTGAGGCAGAACTGAACGAAATGTACCACAAACTACCCGCAAAATCTCAACTAAATGAACCTTTCGAGGACTCCATTTTTCTGTTTTGATTATAATACCTACTTCAAAAGCTTAGCTGGTGAATGCAGCAGCAGCGCCTGGCTTGCCTAGGTTTTGTCCGTAAGAGTACCGATGCGTCGTACTATGAACCGAACTGAATTGGTAATGTTGAACTGGACGTAAGTTTCTTGCTGTAGTCGATAGCTGACACGAACATTGCGTACGTGTATAATGGCTATATCGAATTTACTAACTTATACAGCAACTATCGACGCTTCTTTTTCTATTAATGCTATTAATACTGTTTAAAACAATATATTTCGTCTGCTCTTGTCCCTTAGCACGAAATATTACTGGTTGTTCGCCGTATTTAACCGCTGCAACATTGTCTGCTCACTATTAATGGTCCTCCCCAGCAACTGAACGTAATTGCTGACTCTACACTTGCGCATTATATCTATCCGTATGCAATGGCGAATGACTCATTTCGTTTGTTGACGCATGCCTCTTTTGATTCCATCGAAGCGTTCCATGTCCTCCTCCCCGCTTACTGTTTGCTTTCGCGTCGGAAAGTAGCGATATCTATTCGAGCGCAACACATGTTTGGTGGCCGTAGTACCAGTCGCCGCACCGCCTTATCATAGCTCTGTTATTATTTGGCACGGTTCTCTTACTACTCCAGACAAGCGTGACGCCGTACCCCTGACTTAGTCGCTATCATCGGGTCTGTCGCTAGACGCCAGCCAGGGACTTGGTTTTCCTATTGTGACTCCCATCTATTGTTAAGCTGGGCACCCTCCTTTCCTCTCTTGGCGGCAGTATATCGGCCTCATATTAACGTCACTGTCCCGGCTCTCATGCCGCCTACTTCCCCTGCCCCATTATCCCACAGGCGGCCTGCTCTTCAAGTTCAATTTGTGTACAGCGACGACGAGATCTCTAATCACCATAGTTGCAAACTCGTTTCTTACGCGCTGGCCTTTGTTCCGCTCTTACCGCACCAGCTTACAGCGAAGTGACAAATATGGACCTCTTAAGTGAGTGATGACCAGGTGTCCAGACGTCACAGACCACATATCGGAGAGTGTATAGAGGAAATTGCAACTGCGGAAATTTCTCCCATATTCTGTATTACGCGTCGCCCGTAGGCCAGTTTTTCACACCCAAGTACAGCTACCACACACGTCCCAGCTTGTGAAATTTAACCTTCCAAAAAAAGCAACGTCAACAGGACTACGGGGAGGGTGTTCGTGTTCGACAACGGGGCACATCTTGCATATTATCGGGATTGCCACACACAGGCAGAGACTGTGCACGACAACGGTGAGCTTATCTAGACTATACACAACAAATAATCTATAATCGCTTAAGTACGTTTGCCATGTTTCGGTGCGTATGGGCAAAAAGTATACAGGTTTAGCTGTGTATACAGCGATAGATAAAATCCTATTTTATGTAGAAGAGCGTATTATGTGTGACTCTGTGATTATTTTAGTCTGTAACGATAGTTGGTGTCTCCTATCATCCATGTTAATTATTATCGACATTTGTTTAGGCACTGATAATCGTTTGAAGTGGCGATAGTGCCCAAGCGAAATATCAGTTACACGTGGCCATCCAGTTTCCTGTTTTGCTTAGCCTGATCTGACCATCAATATTGTTCGGAGACTATCGTATCATAGAATAACCGTACTGCGGAACGACTACGAATTAAGATTAAGCACTGCACGTAAAATTGGGGCAACGGTGCTCCCGAAAAGTTCGTCCACTGCAAAAAAATCGCCCAACATCAATGAACCGAATAGAGATGTATATAAGTATACACTCAATAAACGCGTAATGTCATGTAGAAAATGAATTTATACGGAAACAATGCAATCCGCCCATTCCAACGAACCCTTATCAGGTATCCTCTGAGGATACCTTTGCTGAGCTTAACATATGTTCTCATATAAATAGCCCGCCTATACATAGCTATTTAGACGGTTCACACGTGTTGGAATTAACTACGTTATCTATACCTGACATTCTAACGTTGAACGAGCTGCGAAGTCAATTTGTCTGTTCTACGTTTATATAATCCTGTAATCACGCTTTAACGGAAAGCAGATTCTGCATGTAGGCTTGACGGATATCTGTAGCCAAAGGTTTTTCCTAACGGACACGTCTCGATAACACCCACTGTTTTGAAACCGGCGTGGTCAAGTAAATTATAAAGTTCCATAGTCCAGCTCAAAGTTTTAAGCCGTTTACCTATCCTAAGCAAACTGTTATCAAAGATTCACGAAGTCACCATCGCATGTCCGAAATAAACAATGGAAAAATTAGAAGCAATACTATTTTAGCCACGGTCTCATTCAGAACTGCAAATGCACCAAGCTGTCTATCAATAGGAAACGTTCATTATAGTTCATAGAGTAAACATGTGCAATTGTCAAAAAAGATACAGTTACAAACATGTAAACCGTCATCTAGACCAATCATAAACCCAAGTTGTTTTAGGTTAGTCTCAGATAATGTAAGAAGCATAGTTTTGCGAGCGTATACACGGCACTATATATGTATTGGGTTATTCGTACTATAATGCGAAACTACGCATGGCACATAGCCGTGCCGGCTGCTAAGTTCCCCCAACATTATTTGCCTCTGCTATTGGCAGCGATTGTACAACCGGCACAAAAACCAAATATTTATAGAACCACTACAGTGGCCGGATTATTATTCGCTGCGGATGGCTTTCGTATCCCGACTCATCATAACAACGCCAACAGCTGCGGCGGCCGTGACGGCTGCTAAGTTCCCAACACTATTTGCCTCCGCTATTAGCAGCGATTGTGCAGCCGGCACAAAACCAAATATTTATAGGACCACTACAGTGGCCGGATTATTATTCGCTGCAGATGGCTTTCGTATCCCGACTCATCATAACAACGCCAACAGCTGCGGCGGCCGCTGCTATATGATCTGGCTATGAGGAATTAATCTAAAAAGTTCGATATTAGGATTGGTTACAAGAAAGGGGCTAAGAACGTTATTCGAGGATCGTAGTTGCGTTCATTTTTAATTACTACATTATTGTCTACCTTTTACACTAGCAATCGGAAAGTACGGCGTTTGCGGTACGCTGGATCGTATTTGACTGGGACACTAGTGCATTCAGTATTAATTTGAATATATACGTACTGTTCGATAGTCCGCACCACACTGGACAGACAGCGCGGCATCAAGACATAACATTTTTGTAGCATTTGGGTTTTTCACGCTTTCACTGGATTCTCCTATTCGAAAACACAGGACCTGTGAGAAGGTCGGTTCGTCTATGTGCTTGTATCATGGCCGGGTGTCCTCGCTTAGCTTACCATTTCCCTACTTTTGACCCTCTCCTTTACCAAGCGGTCCGTGAGTTCAACCTCGCGGCTCGAGTTTGATCGAACTAGCCACCGTGAGTTTAAGGTTTGCTTTCCGTGTAACAAAGAAAACCGACTTGCCAAGCATCACAACCGTTCAACAGATGTACACAGTAAGCAAAGCATATTTTGGCTAACCTCAACGTGCCATTGACAAATGAAAGCGTGATTTATTAGCACTAATCACACCTCTATAACATCCTATATATTTTGAAGTGATATGAGTAAGTGGTGGTAAGGTAAGGTGCAATCTTATTGACCGCTGAGCTAATATACAGGAACCGTTCTAGCATATCTTGTCTGTGCGTGTGGCAGAACATTATACTTAAAGGTTCTATGGCACAGCAAGGGCATGATGAAATAGATGATCATCGTCTATTCGTAACGCACATTTTCGGGGCCAGAAGTAAGCGAATGTCTTCGTCAGAAGGACAGATACTGCAGTATAGCGGTGTACAGTACTGATGCCTTGCCTTCAGCATGTCACCTCGGATAACTGGCCAATATGATTACGTAACTTATAGCCCAGTAGGATTGCTTAGAACAACTGTTTAATACCAGTTGCCTGCAGGTGGAATAACTGGCTGGTTGACAGAACATGTGTTCTGTCCTTCAGCAGGCTTGCTTGAGTCGATACCGATCGATCTCTTACTCGATAACTGGCCTCTATTATAATCGCTCAGTTAATTCGACCGTTTGACGCACAACGCGAGCCTCACAGAGGTTTCGGATGTGAAACTCAATGCGATTATTTATTTACGTACTCGATAAGAGATACGGTTTACGGCAATTGCAATGAACGCTCTGAGTCCCAGATATACGAACTGTATCGTGTGAACCAGATAAAATAATAATACAATAGAAGTAAATAGGTGTAGCTTTGTTGAATCAGGTCTTCTCGCGTCTGTCGTAGCATCAGCTATTCAACGCAAGGCTAGGGAAATGATGATACAAGAAAAACGTATGTATGCAATAGAAACGTGGACAAGAGCAAGAAGGAAAATGCAAATGTATTAGAATCTGTCTGATCATCACCATCATCGTGGATGTCTACCATCGATGGACCTAGGAACCGCGCAAATGCTACCTCGAAAATAATGTGTTCAAATTATGAACTATCGTTAGGTTCATAGCATTAAATAATAATCTTACGTTTACTGATTTAGTTATAATAGAACGAGCAATGTGAAAGTTCGCATTAAGGGTTAACTAGACATTTGAAATTTAGATACACGATTCACTTTTAACCCGCTACTCTTTTTGGCGTAGATTTGGCAATGCCAAGTCCTAACCCGTTGCTCCGCTTTGAGCTGAGTGCATAAATGTTCCAGAGACACACACACCTACGCGCCAGACTGGTGATGGAATTAAAGCCACCATTTTGTGCAGCCCGCATTACTAATTTCTGGAACTGAGTAGAAGCGGCGCTTGCTCAAAGGTAAAACGTTATCGCATAGTCACTTGTTAGAAACCGCTTTATTTACATTGTAAAGCTGTTCCACACTTGATGATCGTGTATGAAACAGGGCCAATGTATGTCACAATACAGCAATAGAAAGGCAAAAACGCCTTTTTAACATGCGTCATTTGGTTGTCTATTCGTTCTATTCAAGCCCTGTCCACATGTAATTGCTTAAATGTTACCTTAACTGGGCCGAATTTTCGAGGAACTGTCGTTTTCACTTCTATCTACCACTCTTTTCTACCGAGCTATTACCAAAGTCTGAAATTTAAGTTAAGCCTTCTCAAAACGAAAAAGGTTAAATAACTTTTTATAGAAAATCTATTTTAACTCCTAACAATGCCTATGGTGCACTACAGGATATTTCGAAGATTATATAGCAATTAATGTACGGGTAATTATGTATGTAGCAATTAATAAAGCTTTCGGCTATTGATCCGCTATATTCACAATTTAGAGTTCAGCAGCATGAATAACCTCGACTAAATCGAAAAAAGGGTCATTTGGTGATCGTATGAAAAGCCTATTTTTTGTCCTTATGGGACCTATGGGATAAGCTGTCACATCATATGACTGCTAATATGTTCTAATCTTTCATACTTTTAGTCGTAATTCCACCTTGACGTGCACTCATGTGATTTGCCCTCATCTAACAACCGTGATTATTTGTATTATATATATTAAGCAAATTAATCGGTTCATGAGTACAATCAGGCGGCCTAATAAAAAGATTTATACCTAATTTACCAGTTTTATCGAACCTATAAAATTCATATTGTGGTTCTGTGAAAGATGGCGATATTATACTCTGTAAAATTTGCTATAACTATACTAGATGAAAATTACAACGAGTGTAAATAATTTATATTCATAAAAACTAAGGTTTAACAATCACCTAAAGAGCGTTAAGCTTTTTAAGGTGAAATTTAGACTCCACTGCTACGTTTAGAGTATTAAGAATATGTATCTAATAAGTATACGTACGTCTATGCGTTTGCCTCAACTGAAACTGGGTAATATTCAAAGAAACCAGAGCCTGCATGCAAATGATATTGGTACTGCACGATTTACTGTTGTTGCTATATTCCTTATCATTATTACCATTTTCAGATGAGTTACCCACAACAAAATTACTACCCGCCGACTCAGCCCTGTTTTACTCAACCGGGATATCCACCACCAGCCCAGCCGGGTTACTATCCCCCCCCACAGCCCGGATATCAGCCTGGTTACGTCCCATCGGCGGTGCCCGCACAAACAGTGTATGTGATATTTTGATTCTAGAAGAAGCTATAGCTGCTTGGAAAAGATATTTGCAAGCAACGAAGAAACTGACGGATAGGGCGACATTATATAATAGCTTGTTCGGGTTTTGTGAAAGAAGTGTGGGGCATTCACATTATTCAGAGTTTTAACATTTAATTTCTTTATGTAGTGTAGGCGCGATAATTGTTTTGCGCTTATTTGGATGTGAGTCGAATTCGAGAACAGGATTGAGTGCCAGGCTCAGTCATGAAATTATAGTCTGCAGAACCATATTTGAGGCTTTCCTGGATATACAGAAAGTGTCAATTTAGGTGGTAGCTAAGCAAATAGATCATAAATGGAGGAAATGCAATGTTGCCGAATGAAAGTGGCATGAAACAGCATGATCACACACTGCTCTCGTTGAATATACCCGACCTTTTAAAACGAACTTAAACCTTCAGGCCACCAATAGCCGCTGGAAACTGTGCACAAGAAGGATTGGCTAGGTAGAAGTAAAGTATACCAGAAAATATACAATATCTCTTCTGATAAGATCAGTAACACTAAAATGATCAACAGCATACACGTACGCAAAAACGTACGGGCCAAACTGAAGCAAGATTTAATTACTCTACATGATTCTTTGAGCATCATTGATTAAATGGAGTCGTCATGCTTTTTCAGAGTTGTGCATGACCATCGGCCGCAAGAGGATAACTTTTGGAAGAACAGCTGCCTATGTGCTTTGTGCTTAGCACTATGTTGTTGGTGCTGTGATAATTAGATAGGTTCAATATCAACTCAGCGGAAAAGGGGCGACCTTATGTCGGTTTATTGCGACTCCCACAAGCCAGGAGCCACCCGATTGACATCTGTCGCCGACTGTGCGGTGTATAATGCCCAAACACTGTATAAATTATCAATAGCAGATATTTTTATGATGTTATATTATACGATAAAGATACATATTGTTATTTGAATAGACTTTTTATTACAGCACAAATAAACGTGTGCAATGATGATGTACAATCTAATATAAACAACGCAATAATAATAAATCAGTATAACACTAGTTTGCTTACATACTCAATAGTGATCATTACAATATATCTATAATCATATGGAACTCAATGCCGACAGAAATTTGAAGCTCGCTTCAAGACAAAATAAACTATGCACAAAACGTAAACTATATTTGATTGAGTTTTTTTTATTTGAATTTTGAAAATGAATTTGAAAAACTGCTATGTGAAAACGATCTAAAGAGCTTTAGCTTGACGGGAAAAGATTTATATATATATGTATATCGCAAAGGAGCTGAAAGGTAGGTGGAAATAGTAATGACATAAAATGCTCTGCCCATCGTTTTCCAGACTTGCATCAGCCGTGCCATTATTGTTTAAAGGACTACTCATACAAAACGCTCGACACATCAATATGCGAGTCTTTATTAATTACGCTGTATAGATTATCCACATTATTTTTCACGTTCATGAAATTTGACTACGTTGCACTCGGCTTCGATAATTTTCTCAAGTTACTAAAATTACGTTGATGTTGACTACTGATACTCTATAAACAAGTGTAATCAACGTGTGAGATATGCTCGCCCTCTCAGCCCTTTATGATTTTCGGCGTATCAGCATTGATGACAAGCGTCTGGAAGCAAACAAATAGATGGAATACAATAGCGCTCGTGCAGACATTCGCACTTTTATTACAGTATACCTACTGTTCTAATACTGTGCTAGTAAAAAAAATAATCAGCTAGTTCTCGCAAACACAAAATGGGTTCCTATTGGGGATTTACAATGCTACTTCTAAAAAATATAATCTTTTTATTGTGCGTTGCGATTGGAGCGATTTGGTACCACCTCGCTTTTTTGTGCTGTGTGGTAACAAATGAACTCGCTTAGCTATGAAACAGTAGGATTTACATTTGTGATGCATAGGTGACAGATCATCAGTAGAACTAAAGGAAAAAAGCGATAGAAGACTTAAAAGAACTGTAGATTTCTCAACTCAGTTAAAAAAACACGGAGAAACCGCGGCTAGCTCTAAAATGCCACAACGATAATCAAGTGCTTCAAAAGACTTCGTGTGTTCAATGTACTTAATGCATCCTATAGATGCGTCTTGCAAACCATAGGCAATACACACGCTATAAAGCTAGAAGTGAGGAGATCAAAGGTTATTTGAACTACTAACAGTGTCATTCTCTACTACTGGAAGGTTCTGTGAGGAAAATGGCTAAAGAAACTAACTTTGCTACTCCTGTAAAGTTATCGTTTCGTTAGATACTGGAGCTCCAATCGACAGTGGACAGTTTAGCCGCGCAATATAAGTAGTTAATCGAGCTCACAGTCCTCACCGTAACCAAGTTCAACAACGAAGGCGCAGCTTTACGCCTACAGGAACCAGAACACGCAGCCAATTGCGACAACGAACGCTAAGTTGCAGTCTGATGGAAATTGAATGGAAAAACTACCCTCAATGTTTTCACCTGATAATACCTTGTTCTGATCAAAAAGCTTAAAATCTATCCCGCATCCTAAGGTCCTGGTCATGTCGACATACCCAACAATAACATGGATAGAACGTTCGACGATTAAATGTTCTGTACAATCGTGAAGTAAACAAATAAAATGAATAGATTAACGCTGGCTTACTAGCAAAGTATAATGCTATCCATTACCTCACTTTCGCTGCTGCGAACGCCGAAGTGGTGTATATAACCGAGACTTATTTGAACGATAGTAAATCATCTTCTGAAATATCTAAATTATCTAAACAGATACGCTTAGATAACAAGAAACTAGAGCGCCTTTCTTTAAGGGGGACTTGTGCGAATACTTGGAACGTGAAACCGTTTGAACAAAAGCTGTTACGAGACACGCGGTAGGCAGTAGCCTCTTTGCCTACCGTACAAGCCATAACATTATGCACTAATTAGTGATATGTCTCCGCATCATGCATGATGGTGTATTATTGTTGTACATTTCTTATGTGCCCACACTGAATTGATTAGGAGCATCGCAAAAGGCACATTAATCTTATTCAACTGCAGTATCCTGTTTAAGTAAATTGTCCAGATGCTCAGCATATTGCTACCTACCTTTAACTGCTGGAAGATAGTGCTCGCTTGTAGAATATTCTCAGGATTGGCAACTTGGTGCAGCTGATTGTGACCGTTCGTGATTTGTTCCAGAAATTGTTCATACTCAGGATTAAGTCGCTGCTCAGTTGGAGCTAGCACGGCACTCCCAGTCAGCCAACCAGATGCCCCGTTGGCTACAGCAATGGCCGTTCCATTTGGTATCATTTCATATGTTTGGAATAGCGTCCCGCCTCCGCCCGTCGATGCATGTGCAGCTGTCTCAATAGCTGTATCCGCAACTTCATGGGCTTCGTTAATGACCGTCAAAATTTGTCCATTGCCCACGGAACCAGACTGCCCGTCTTCAGCCTGTAATAAAAAAACGGTTTTATACTTTGTGAGAAATATGGACGTACCCAACTAAGAAAACTTGTCCAACCAGCACTTATGAACCTCGCCGAGGAACGAATGTATGCTATTGACCTGCAAGGTATACGATGCGTTCGCTACGACTGCATCTTCCCGTTTGGACGCAGCCCCCATGTCGTTATCAGCGACGCCTTCTTCAATATACGAATCCAAGAGTCCATGTTCTTCTTCCACCTCTTGGGCCTCTAAATATTCCTCACCGACAACCTGAAATAGCAAAAATTACATTTAAGCCAGCAACATTAAAAGTAGGTCTTACTATTCTATATCATACTCCATAAGGGCATCGATTCAAACTAGGTAACATTTGTGATTAAATAGAGTATCGAAAATAAAAAAAAATCTTGAGATTCAGCCATCTTATATTTTCTAAAAAATCACACAGATCATTTCCGGTGCCGCATAGCGTTTCCGTGGCCGTAGTTACTCTATCTAAGATTATTTTTCAATATCTATAGAGTGGACGGTTTTATCAAACCCTATTCGCACCTGATGCAACACACGTTTTGATGCCTCCGCTTGTTCACCCTCTCCCTTTTGTGCTTCATAGTCCCTTATAAACTGGACTACAGCATGGATGTGCTTGCACATTTTCCCGATTTTTGTGGCGCCTCCGCAATTACACTTGAACAAATGTGAACAGCACTGGCAAAGCTTGCATATCAGGTCGCAAGGGACCTCTAATCGGACTTCCGCAGGACACACGTCCGATACACGAGTCACTCGGTGGCAAACCTGTAAGAGAGATTAAGCGTAGCATCTCGTCGACATATTACAACCCTGGTTGTTTGTTGCAAAAATACGTTAAGCAACAGCTCGTTAAGATACGAACCTTGCCTTCTGGCCGTTTAACTCCCCACTGATGTGTATCCGTCTGCACAATATCAAATGCATTATTGATCGCTGCGGTATGCTCTAGCACAATATCTGAGAAAACTGTTGAGGTTCGATCACTGCAAAATAATATTATTCTTTTAAGAATTCACTTACAAAGAAGCGTAAGGCTTACCTGGCTTATTATCTACAACGTTATATAGGATACGATCAATAGGACATATATAGTAGGACATGATCAAGTTTTTTAAACTTTTTAATTATCATATACACAGAAATATAGTACCTGAATTTCGTTTATACATCATATACATACATATAGAACTAGAATCAGAGACAACGAAATACCGCCTCGAAAGTAACTTGTAAACACCATTAAGTCATATGTTTCGTCAAAGTTGGTAATGAAAGAAGATTTACTTAGTTAAGGTTTTTGTCGGTGCTGATTCAAGATGGCTTTTTTCTCGAGGATAGTTATTAATTTTAGTAAGCATCTGTATGTTTCCCAAATCAGCACCATTGCTCGCCTCGGATTGTCTGTTTTGTTCAAGGGTTTTTCCTCTTTCTAGTGTGTTCCGGATTGTTTTGTAGTCAACATAGCGCAATGGATCATCCTCGTCCAGTTCTCCAACCTATAAGTAGTCGCCAACGAAAACAAACCAAATGTGAGAATATAGTACTATACCGATACATACAGCTAAACCATTAAAATAAGAAGATATGGTACAAAAACAACTTCAATGTGATTTTACCTACTTGTCAACATGTATATCTGTACTTGAAGGTTAAAAACATTTTACGAGGCAAAAGCCACTCACGGTCTTATGTAGAATCTCGAGAATCTCCCTGCAGTTCATTCCCAGTTGCGCGTGATAACGAATAAAATTCTTTTCTGATTCTAGTAAAGGTAAGTATTTACCCTCCAGCTCATGGTTGTAGTGCGTAACGGATCCAATTATGCTTACTTGACCTATGATTTGCGCAATAAGAAACAATATTAGCAAAAACAAGTCTTTGGAGTATGAAAACCATGTTTTTTTCACTTATGACATGATATTCTAACACTCATCTACATGATATTCGGTCTCACTAAAGAAATTTTCTATCAAGCATTAGTATTGCGAAATGCTTATGATGTCTTTTAAATGCTGCTAGTTAATAAACTAATAAAAGTCTTTCGAAATGGATTACTAAACAATATCTCACCAAATGAAGCTGATCAGTTCTTTCTATTTAGTCAATAAGCTTTGAGAGAAAGTATAGATTTTATAGAGGTCTGTATGAAAATATTAAAAGAGCGCTCAGAATCCAGCAAGCTTCTACTCACCGTTCGCATGGTAGCTGACAATGGCATGAGCTGTACAGAAGGTTCCAATCTTGGAGGTACCCCGTCTGATGTGCGCTCGCGTCCGATCCTCCATTTTAACTCGCACAGCCCCCTCTCGGTTACAATAAAAGCGTTTGACGCCATTCACTTTGCCATGTCGGGATACGAAGCGAGTTTTATACATCTATAAACGTTCAGGAATTGTCGACTCGAAACTCAATTGTGTAGCTTACATTTTAAAAATACTAAAGACATTTAATAAGTACATCTTAAATAAACCTAGGTACTTGAAAAAAGAAGCTAGGACTAATAACCCTGCCTGCGTATGGACTACTAGATCTTGCCTACATATGACCTGTTATCTCTTATCATCCATTTACCTTAGACATAGAAAAGAACTGATTGCGTTTATAAAAAGACGCACTTTTTGGACTCGTTGGAAGAAAATTTCGAACTCATCCTCTGTATCGAATGTCCCAGTCACTTCTTTGATCTCCCATTCATGGTCCTTCCCCAGATGGTGCAGCAGTTCCTCTCGACTGTAGTAAAAGATAAATAACGTTATCAAATCTTATTACGTTCTCAGATTTTTACTAAATGTTGTAATTTGAAATATTTACAAGCCACATTTTTTTCTTCAGCTTAAAGTTGTTTAAACTTCAAGACACGACTCCTTGACGCCGACTGAGAACAAGTAAAGCTTTTTCAAATTACCACCGACTCCTCCACTTGAGCCGTATTTGTCTTATATTTATTTTGAGCTATCTTGGACACTGTTCCTGGTATAAATTTTGGTATAATACCTTCGGACTTTAACGTCACATCCAGCTTCTTCACAAGCGTACCACTTCTTTACGGCCCCACATAGCTGATCGAGTTGTTTTTCTGGGTGCCTTCTGCCAAGATGTTTGAGATAGGTTTGCCGATTGGACAAGCGTAAAGGACAATGTTCACACTGAATGGGTCTGAAAGACATGTAAAGAATAACTAAGAGCTATCAGCGTCCAACAAGCCCATAGAACGTTGTATAACAATGCAAAAGATCGCTTAAATAAGGAAACGAATTTAACCCTCGAAATTTACAATATACTCTTCAGAAGCGACCTAGTCTCACTTAGTAAATGCTTTCATTCAGTTGCTAGCTGGCTCAGTCAGGGTTGTGGATTATGATGCCTATACCTTTTACTCGGGTACCCCCTCGTGCCTGTTCTTACAGATGCTTCGTGGGCGGCAGTCTCTAACAGTTCAGCTTCATCTTCAGCCATCGCTTCGTCGCTTTTTTGATATCTACTCGCTTTTCCAGCATCTAAAGTTAAATGAAGAATATACATAACTGAATACCTGATTTCTTCGAAATTCGCAAGGGTGCTTTATCTCGGACCTTGTTTAATATCACTAAAGAAATTAACTGCGAACTTGTCATTTTCATTGATACGCTGCATCTTCCTTCGCAAATATACAAAGCACTTAAGCGACAAACGAATTTCAGATTTGCTTTCCAGGTGTAGAGATTAGAAACAAGTTAAATAAGCAGGGAACATTTCTGCTATTGTATACTGCGCTTGCATGAAATATTTATTATTTAATTGTCATATAGTTAAATATAAACCCTGATGTTGAGTTGCTAAGGCTTCGCCTTCCTGGTCGACCTCCATAGCTGGTGCTATCTCCGCAATTTGTACGCTAGGGATTCATTAACCGCAATCCGTCCCTCGATCGCACAGTAAACTTAGCAAACGTTTTCTGAAGGATATTATCAACGACACCAATGCTGAAATGTATGTGGAAAAATTGTGGGCATAGCATTATATGTAGCTGTCAAACACACTTCGTGAAAAATATGTACATTCTTCCAGTATAAATGTGAATAAACCGCTGGATTTTGCTTCCTTTGCTTCTTTTTTTACTATTACATTATTGTCTAAGTAACTTCCTTTTTGTTTACTTGATCATATTTAGCTATGTGGTAACCAGGGTTTATTACATCGCCAACAATTATTGAACCTTTCATTTGCATTTGGGAAAAGAGCAACATGAAAACCTCTTTAGCTAGATTTATTAAAAAGTGCGTTCATCATAACAACATGATTAACTTCATTTAAATAAAGCTACTGCTATAATTGTATGTTTTGATATCGCTCCTTTCGAGAATAAAATATTGTAAATTCTTTCAAGTCTGTTTTTGTTAGCCTCTGACTATATCAACATGACAGGCGTCATTTGTTGAAAAATAGCAAAAAGTAAATTTGTTAAGATCCGAAGGACCGTCGTGGAGAGTGACGGTGAATACAAAGTAAACTTCATTGTTGCTAGAATGCATGTGAAATGCTAGGTACTTAGGCGAAAAAACGGAAATTGCTTGTGCTCTGGCCTAATAACTTGACAGGTGCGCGATGATTGCCTACCAATAAGCCTTGCCGTACGACAATAAAATATTACTGTAGCCTATAGAGATTGCGAAGGCAGATATATGATTTTTATCAACTCGATTTTCATTTATTTGAACTAGCCATATATGATATTAACTCTCCTGATTGCGTAAATTTAGATTGCAGTTCGCCTAACTAGAATCCCGGCCAGCTCATGGATTGTACAAGACCAAGATCGAATTTCGCCAGCTGTAGCCAAGTTCGTCTTCATCTAGCTGTGGCTAGATGAGGTTTTGACTCAAACCCGCATCACATTCGACCAGAGTCATGGCTACATTTAGAATGATGACTATAAGATACCGAACACTGCAGTGACAGGCTTCTAAAGTGTCAAAATTAAGACTGTGTGCTAGACATGAACAAAAACTCATCGATATCAGAGATACACAGTTTGACTTACTTGAGATTTAGCTGACTTATAGATGCACGATGAAATAAATTTCATATATATCTTCAGATTAGAGACCGTTTGTTGACCTGGAGTAGTGCAATATCTTGTGGACTCCGTTGAATAAGCTTGTATTCGACGGAACCTGTGCAGTTCGGAGTGAAAGCACGTGCGCTTCTTTGAAAATTAATAAATCGAACGGGAGCTCGCGAAGTGCAATTTATGGCCAGTTTTACATGTTTACGTAGAGAAAGTGTGCCACAAAGGGATAGACCTTAAGGATACCATAAATACGGTATGTCTATCCAAGTGACGGCTAGAGCCATAGAAAGAAGTTACTGGTGGAGATACATAACACTTCTATGTTTTCTAACATTTCTACCATATGTCTAAGGTCCTCATAAATTGTTAAATTAATTGACGTATATGTAATACTAATTCATACTGCAACTAGATCTCGTTTGGTTGGGAAATGATATATATACATATATACATTTACTGACTGAATGCATTCCAGCATTATACATAGATACATATATTATGCAATAACATCAGAACACGTTAGCTAAACCAAATTGGATTTATTTTGACTTACTAACCTTTAATTATATCTATATTGATCTGTTCGAAAGCATGTTCAATGTAACTTAATAGCATGATTCTCGCATACGAAAACGTTCGCGAGCTTTGAACTATAATATTCGAACATCATTTTAATATTGTTTAATATTTTAATAGTATAATATAACATAACATAATGATATAATATATAAAAATGAATCTTTTGATTTTTTGTTGGTACAAAACGCAATCGTACGTACAGCACGTTTATTTGTAACAGTTATGTATTATCTTTAATTATCAAGATTTCTGTTATTCTCACGCCTGAGTTTACTGGGCAGCCCTGAAAGTTACGGCTTATTAATTCAATAATTTAATGGCAAACAACAATATTAATTTAATAGATGGGTCGGAAGCACGGCGTTCGAAAGGCTGCCGGTGACAGTCGGGTTAAGAAGCAATCAAAGTTTGCGTCGCTGACTAATTCGGACGAAGAAGAGTTCTTCGAGAAGGACCTATATTTTTCAAGGCAGGACGATGACGAAGTAGGTTTTAAGACCAATATCTTCAGCGATGTATGTTGCTAAAGAGTTATTCCCCAACCACTGTAGTTGTCTTAAATGTATCTTGTTGCAAGCATAATATTTCTATTTTATGAAATACTGTCTTCTGTAGTGAGTACTGAATTGATTAGTACCAAGACTTATTCCCGAGTTTTATTCTTGGTAATGCAAAAATGACAATTTTGAATATATAATATATTAATTTAATTATAATGATATATGTGGTGGTCAAACGAAAATGCGCAGCATTTGTCCAGCTATTTGATTTTTCTTAGACTCGATATGAGTATTAAAAATCCCTGCGTCTAATTATCTCTTAATCTAGATCGACGAATTTTACGCAAAGAAAGATAAAATCATGCTGACAGGCCGTCAAAAGGAGTCTGACTCTGAACAGGAACAAGTTTATGCACTGAGCTCGAAGGAATTCGATTCCGAGTCGGATGAAGAGACCGGAGTACTCTCGTTGGAGCGCGCCAACGATTTAGTAACGAGGTTTGTCAAAAAAAAGGAATTAGACTCAGACATTGAGGAAACCGATGATCTAGATGATCTACCTGATGCAAAGGCCTGGGGTAAGTGTCGCCTATATTTCATTCTGCTGCGTTTATTGATTTGATTATATCAATATTCATCGTCAGCTTTATTATATATCGCTACGATACTTATGAAATATGATATTCTCATCTTATAGACTCATATTCTAATATATGGCTCACATAATCATTCAATTCTAGGTCGAAGGCGACTAAACTTCTATAACACAGATTTTGTCGATAAGGATGTTGGCACACTCTCCGAAAAGGATAAAGAGGTCGCCCGTATGGAGGAGGAGGAAGCTCGGGCAATCCAAAAGCGACTTGCTGATGAAGTCGACGAAGACGCTTTTGGTCTTGAAAATCTTCAGGTGCCGAAATGGGATGAGAATGACGACATGAAAGCCTTTAGAGAAAAACAACAACGTATAGAGATTGACCTAAGTAAGCTACCGAGTAAAAAACTGGTCAAAATGGTATTAGAAGAGTCCCCTGAACTGCAGGGTCTTCTTGATGACTGCAAGACAAAGTTACAAGAACTTGACACGGAGATAGCTCCCATGCTCAAATTACGTCAAAATGGATGTCTTCCACGAGGAACTTCGGCGGAAAACTACTTGCTTCTTAGGCACAACCTTTTAATAATATATACGACAAATATCTGTTTCTACCTTAGTCTCAAGGCTAAACGGATAAACATTAGAAACCATCCAATCGTGAAGAGGCTCGTTCAGTTTAAGAAACTTATTTCAGAACTAGACCGAACAAGAACACAGTTGCTTCCTCAGATTCAAAATATTCTTGAAAAGGCCCAAGATGGGAAAGAGCTGAAAGTAAAAAATTTGATTGGCTCCAAAAAGGTACAGGAGCTCAGCTCCGATGAAGAACAAGAACACTTTAGCGACAAAAATGAGGAACAGGATGAGGGTCTCCATGGTAAGCTACTACAAAAAATTTGACTGTATCCCGATTTTGATTTTTTCTTTGGTATACTGGTTGTTTTTGTATTATTCCGGATACTTAACATGTCTTTTGTTCTGCAACGTTTAAATAGAACTAGTTCTTGCAAAATGATATTGAGGTAAGAACGAGTCACTGGTAGCATACTATTGTCAATGACGCATCTAACCATAGAATCCTATATAGCCGATGGGAACGACAAGTGCTTATATTTATTGTATGAAAAACGTGAGTACCAACTCAACATACTAGTCACATAACTGTTAATACTTCCCAACATTTTTGTTTGATACTTCTTGATGTGTTCGCAATCAAAACATACACGAATGTCGCCTAAGTTTTTAATATACGGCAAACATGGCTCTGGTTAAACGCCTGTTTAAAAGAGCACGCTTGAATTAAGATTTCGGTGGCGATTTAGGTCGCGTATAACACGGACCAAAATCACTCGCTCTCACTAAATGTGAATAATAATGCTGTACTAACCTTAGGCAACTGAGAATGGCAAATCCGCTGGCTGCAGGGTTTTGTATACAACGGAAGATTTTATGCAGTTTTGTGTAGTAGCCTGAAGCAATGTTTAACAGTACAGGACATAAACCTCGGAGCATAGATATACAATTAATTCTACTATCAAGCATATTATGTGTACTACAGCAATGTCTACCTCGTAGATATTAAGAGGCTAAACTAATTCTGATATATTTTTATCATCTTTGATCACTGTCATGTAAACGAGACGAATGAGAACTTAGTCAAAAATCATTTTCCATAAAAGCGCTAGGTTTCTCGCACCTGCTAAAGACAATCTGGTTTTCGTATCGGGGAAACGTGCTATTTAATGATTCAAAAGGGTGTATTATGTCCATGAAATATCGCAAACATTGGAACGGTTGAATTGTTGCAAGCGTCTGCTGCAAAGAGTTGGCGACCTCCGTGAAAAAAAATTAATGTTGCTTTCTCATCGTGAAATTCTTAGATATCTAATAACGCCAGTTATGATTATAAGTAGAAATTATTTATTTGTCCGATATGACGCAGTTAATGGTCATTTCACATTGGATTGTCACTCAAGTACTCTTATCTTTTTATCGATTTTACTGGGTTGTCATTTACTAGACCTTTAACGCCATGGTGCACAGTACCATTAATGTCTTATCAAAAAAAGGATGCTAGTTGGAAGTTCTATTTGAACATTGTAGCGGAAGATACTCTCCAACGTGAAACAGGTTCGCTGTAGCAGTTAACAGGCAGTGAATGAGGTAACGCTGCTTCTTTCATGTCACACTGGATCACAGAGGCCCATCTTATACACTTTTATTTTCTTTTTATTTAAAAAATTTCGCTAACAAGAAATCATAGTTGCTGACCAGATCTGCCTCTATATTACATGAGAAATATTTGATGACGATAACAAAAGTAATTTATTAGGTTGGGATTTATATAACGGCTATTTTTCACTGAAACTATTCACTGTAAACGCAACATTTTAGTCGAGTTCCAGCGAATAATTATGTGTCTACCGACTTCTCCCTAAATACGATAAGTGCAAAAGAACCACACACTCAAGCTGTTACAAAATGGCTTTCACCATCTTTTCCACGCGTTGTCAAGGACGATGATCACCACGCGATGGGCAAGGATGACTGCCTTATGCTGTTTTTTATGTTGAATGCCCTTGTCATCATTCAATCAATGCAACCAAACTCTAGACGAATCTCTTTTGATTATCTGGTTCTTCTCAAGTATTTCTTAGGGTGTAGGACACTTACAAACCTACTGAATGCTGGCAACATTGATTCTGGCTACATATTGGCCAAAGGCGGGCGAAATGTTGAAAGTCACTTAGAAGTCACACCTCGGACAGCCGATGGAAATGGGGTACATCCTTCAAACCCAAATTCCCATCGTTGGATCTAGGAAATTTCTTTTAGTAGTTCCATATATTGCTGGGTCATTACTGCACACGATCCAACTATTCTGACAAGACAAGCTGTTCAACAAGATAAATACAATAGGCGCCGAGAATGCACCTTTATTACCTTTAGAGCCTGAACTCGACATAAAGTTCGGTCTACTGGCAATGAAATTGTTAAATTATTTTACACAAAAGAGAGAGGGAGAGAAGGAACTCTTTCGAATGGTAACAGTGAAAAAAAAACTAAAAAAGGTAACGTAAGGGAAAACAACAAAAAGGAAAAGAATCCTGAATGAACAAATCTGTAAAGTTAATGCATCATATGTCGGAAATAAAAGAACATACAGTTGCATGCGACCTTCATCGTGGGTCTCTGCCCGAATTTAAGGTGTAAACAATACGTACGCGCGTGATTTGTTTTTTTCTTCCTTAACACGACTCAAGAGGCTACTACATTAAAAAATAACATGTTTATTTCTCTCGATCCAGGTGCTGTGGATGACAATGAGATTTCATTTACGAACCTTATATCAAGAAATAGTAAGCTGCTGTTAAGCGAGGCGGAGAAAGAAATAATGGCTCTCTACGACACGGCGCTCCCGGCTGTAAAAAAAATGAAAAAGGACTGTGACGAATTTGAATCAGTTGAACAAGCCGGTAATACGAGAAATGAACGGCTGGACGAAGCCGCTATCTTCGGCGATACTGATTCAGAAAATGATGAGCCGGTTTTTAAAGTTGGTCGTGAAGGTCTCGATGATCAAGATGAACAAAACAGCGTCAATAACATGACAAAGGTAAGCTAAGGGGTTGCACCAACCTCCAATATTATAAAAACGCATTCTGTAGATGTGCTTTGCTTATTGGGATCCCTGAAACGCATCCCCGATTCGGTCACACTTAAAGAAAATAATTGCATCCTCCTTTGCGCTCGATACATTTCTTTTAAGCACAATTAGGATTGGATTAGTTAGTAGCATCCTCTGTTCGTGTGTTCTGACGCTTTTCGATTATTTTTTTGAACTTATCCTTCGTATATGTTTATTAACATAAAGCAAACAAACCAGGAACAATTATCATGGGTTCGAAAAAGTGATAAGGCCGATCAATTCTGAAATGTTCTAATATACTCGGTTCTTATCATGTCAGTACAGCTTCGGGGACCATTTGCCCGAAATTGTTCTTTGCGCGGAGGGACTCAGGATGCATTTGACAACTATGCTAAGTTCTGTCCTACTTCCTATGTTGGCTTTTGTTTCTAAGTGGTATCAAACTCGTTGAAGCACCAGAACATTCTGTTTTGAGTACTAATTATACTGAAAGGCATTTATAGACGTAACGAGTGTGTACAGTATTTTTGGTAACCTTGTCGAATTAGAGACCATCTTTTGAAAATAACAATATAATTATTGAAACTGGAGAAATGATTAGCTCTGTATGTTGCATTCCTGGATTACGAATGGCTAAGCACAGAAAGGACTCCGTCAACTTTCTTTTTATTACCAAATTCCATCACTTGTTTTCAGGATAAACCGAATGACATGGACGGGGGGGCTGCAGGGGATGCAGAAGGCGATGGCGATAGTCGTCGTGCAATTAATTATCAAATTGCGAAGAACAAGGGTCTTACACCCCACCGAGCTAAGTACATGCGAAATCCAAGGGTCCGGCACAGAATGAAATTTCGGAAGGCCAATATTCGACGAAGGGGTCAAGTACGCGCTATGCGTGATGAAGCACAGCAACGCTACGGGGGAGAGACGTCCGGAATTAACTTCAGAGTTATTAAGAGCATTAAGCTTCATTAACCAAAAACTAATTGAACTTATCGGATCAGGTCTCACTTCCGAGAACTCGAAAAACGTAGAAGCACCAGAAAACTATTTTTATTTGTGGAACAACTTGGAAGATACGAAGGCTCGCATATTTCTCACGGTAAAAATAAAATGCATAAAATACATTTCATCACATGCTTATTCGTTGTCGTTTTAAAAATAGACTTGAATAAATAAAATTCTCGTAAAGTGATAACTTAGCCGAAGGTTCAATATCACTTTGTTAGAATTTTGTTTATTCTGGCACTAGTAGAATTATTACCTTTTTTTTTAAGTTTTTGAATGTACTAATACGGTTACTTAACATGCGATTTCGACGGCATTTATTTAAGATATTATTATTTTCTATTATTTTCTTCCGCTTACTGACGGCACCTAGCCAGCCTACGTGACTTGAAAACCACCGCAATTTCGATCCAATACCGCGGTACGCAACAACCGATGCGGTCTTATAGGTTCTTACTGTAATTATTATCTTGACTATTAGTTCTATCCAGTAGACGATTTTAAGCCATTCCTGTGGATGAACATGTGCATATTCCTATAGGTCTATATAAAACAAATGACTCGGTATAACGTATATAGTTAACATAATCTACATGTTTTTAGAAAATTAAAAATTCGTTTTTCACGGATTTTATTTGACTCAAAGAAGCTTAATTCAAAGCTTTTAAAAGTTTCAGATGATGCTTCCAAAAACACTACGTCGTCACCCGCATATCTATTGCTGTGGCTATATAGAGAATGATCCTCGAATTTAAACCACGAACTGCTTCAGATCTCGTAATCTGCTAATTTGATTTACCTATGAAAGTATAATGCATATTTTGTATTAATTATGGCCTTTATTAAAACAAGCGCCTCTAGAACATATCGCGCAACTTGCTGTGTCTGATGTTCCATTTTTGTTATTCTACTGTAGTTAATTCTATATTATAACAAAACTGGTATACTTTTCATTTGCATATTATATACGATACTTAACTAACTTTACAATACATCACGGAAGCACTGAAGTATGTCCTCACTCATGCGTAAAATACAAAAAGATTTAATGAGGTCTGTCTTTGTATCTTTGCAAGGTTCGCCAACATAAGTGGTCAGTAAATAACTTACACACTACTATTTATAGGGTAAACTGCGTAGTAGCTAGCCCGATCTTAAGATTATTACTGTTTATATGCACATGCCCAAATACCAAAGTGCTTTTAAACTTTTCGTGTGTTCACAATTTTAGCTCTTAACGAGTTTTGGCGGTTCGGTAGCGAGGAACAGCTTCTGAAAACCAAAGCCGAACGACAATGTTTAATTAATGCTGATCATTTAAGTACAAATAATTTTTAAATCTTATGTATAAAAATTAGGTAATTCACGGCAAACTGTGAACATGAATGCCTTATCTAATTGTTATTACGTGCAAAGATGCTTTTGAAAACGATAGGCTGAAAATCAACATATTGCATTATGTCCACTTCTGATCATCAAAGCTCTTTATGACATATGAATAATGCGCACCTTTAGCTGTTGAAGAATAGTGCATGTTTGTAGTATGTTTTTCGGATTGGAGACTTGATGGAGCTGCTTAAGTAAGTGTGTAAATTGCTCGAGGAAATGCTCGAATTCAGGATTGATACGCTGTTCACCTACAACGGTCCTGCCCCCAGTTGTTGCTACAGCCCCCTCTGTAGCCATTGTTGCAACCGATCCGTCTGGCAATACTTCGTAAGTCAAGAAAGTTCCATTGTCCGCTGTTCCAATATGACCAGCCGTTGAGTCGGCGCCTGTAGGTGCCTCCACTCCATGAGTTTCCTGAATGATTGTTACTACTTGACACCCACTGGTAGGGCCAGGTTGGGCGCTCGCACCCTAAAATTAATTAGTTCACAATCGTAAGCTTTTTTGCAACACGACAAATAAAAGTAAAAAATGATTATCATGTCAATAAAAATGCATGGGAGAAAAGGCGGATATATATCAGTTCCACACGTTTTTAGCATCAACGGACTGACCTTACAAAGAAAAAAAAAGATCTATTCAGTCGACTCAGGCTTGAAAACTGCAACAAATGTACGGCGCGGTTTAAAATATTCCATGCAGTCGGGAAAAACAGTAAGTAATGTTATTGCTATCTGTTTTCTATTTTATCTTTGTTCCACTTTTTGACGAGGCATAAATCACACTATACTACTAGAAGTTCTGAGAGAGACAGGGAGGCTATCATGAAAACTGAACACCTCCTCATATGATAATAACCAATGTGGCCTACGCACAGATTCTGCCGTTGTCTGCCCGCACGGACATTCTGCCAACATGCAGCTTCCCACAGCTCTTCAGTGAATTGACGATTTTTTAAACGGTGCAAATGTAAATATTACTTACATACTTCACATATACTTTATTTTATAAGCTAGTGACTAGATGAAGAAGTGATAATTGTACTATAAATTTTAGCGGTGAGATGCGTGGCGTCAATTAACCTGCAAAGTGTATGTGGCTCCCTCTACAGTTGACACCTCTTGTTTAAGGACGACTCCGGTGTCATTCTCTTCGATGTAAGAATCTAGTAACCCGTGTTCTTCTTCCACTTCCTGCACTACAGAAAATTCCTCGCCAACCATCTGAATAATGCAAAAAAGGACGTTTGTTGATAAGTTACACATTGTTACGTTATTGCATTGAGCCTGATTATGTGGGTTAACGAAATCAGATAAGTAAACACAAAGCACCAGGACAGTAAGACGGAGTCTATATAAGTTTGAATACGAACTCGACCTTCGTCGCTCGTGTGGTTTTCTTTATCAAACCAATCAAGCATTTTTTATCAAACCGGCCCTATACACTGAAAGCTTAAAAAATCGTTTGAAGGATGACCGCTGTATAGATAGTTGCAAACCTTTTAACTAGATAAATAACGTATAACCATGTACATCTGCCAACTTTTTTCATATTTCAAAGCATTTATGCTATAGAGTATTATATGCAGGATGTCTGTAAAGGATTATACTTCAATACATAAGTAAACGTTTTCTAATAATATTGATATCATGTTAATACGGGAATATAAATAATTATATATTGATGTCTTTCAGGTAAACTCTAAGCAGGTTTAGTAAATACTTATTATAAATCAAGAATATAAACCGTAACAAGGCATGTGTATTAATATAATAGTATCTTAGTACAGTGCAACACATTTTATGCTAGTAATAAATACTGTGGTTTGTAAAAATAACGTTTATTGATCAATGCTAAATACATCACTGCAGATTTATATTACTAATAATAATGATTATAAATACAAAGCGTCAATAGCTGTTGACGACGAACCATTCGTTATGGCTCTGTCCAGATACTATTGATACTACGAATTTTAATAACGTGCTTCCATCTGTTTTTCAGAGGCATAAATTCTGCCCTAACCAATAGCTATTTCGCTGCATTAGTAATTCGTCTCATAATTCTATATCCTATAATGTCCTTCTCCCTCTGAGACGATTACTCACATACGTTAAAATAAGATGGGCGCATAACGAAATTTCTTATTTCTTTGTTGTAGCTTAGCCTTCGTCGCTAGCACACTCATTGCGTTTATTATTGGTATTTCCGTTTCTGGATTTTTCAGTGTTGCCATCAATAGCTTTAAGTTTGTTAAGTGGGTTTTCGTGTAAGATCCAGTCGGCGGTCACTGAGCAAGCTTTCAACATCACTTCTGTAGGAGATGATTTTTTGAGAATGGACGCTTTTCTTCGTTTTGATGATGGCTCACTTCCTTTCCAATTTTTGCTTTTCTTCGGCAGGTCTTCAATATAGTCCGAATCAGTAAACAAACGAATGCCTATGGAGCCGCTTTCCCGAGGAACACCTTTACTGCTAGCGTTTCCTCCAGTTCTCTCTGAGGCGGCTTCTGCGCCGTCAGTCCTATTCTTTTTCATCTTCTTAAATTTACAAATCTTTTCCAGTACCTCATTAAGTTTGTGGGCAAGGAACCTTTTGCACTCAGGTTCTAGTTCAAAACGACTCTCGCGGAGATCTCGCTTTGGACACTCTTTGCGGTTTTGATTGCTTAGAAGGTTTGGTATGGTAGAACTCGCATGTATAGTTGAAGCAACTTGTGCCTTTTCATTTTCTTGCTTCCCAAAACTTGGCAGCGCATAGGCTATAACAACGGCTGCGCGAAGTCTGGCTTCTTCTTCTGAATCTGAAGCAGAGTCGGGCGATGTCATCTTGACAGAAGACACCACTACGGGAAAATCCCAAAGTCAAACCATTTTTCTGATGTAACATGTACAAGAAAATTTAGAAAAACATCTGTTTGTACATGTGTTTTTCCATGTTTACCAATATAAGCAGAACAACTATTGCAGTCTCATCTGAGCCTAAATACGAAAGGACTTCCCTTGCTCAAATTCGCCCTTTCCCATTCATGGAGAGGAGAGAATGCGTTTGGAACAACTGTATGAACAGTCTGAACATGCTTCGAGTTCAAAAGTCGTGAGAAGTTCAAGGGTGGTGTTGAATCTGGGAAAGGTTTTTTTCAGGTTTGTTATGCAAGCCAGATATAAATACATTATGACAACAAAGAGCCCACTTCCTTGATAATGCCATAGCATTAATACACGTCAAAATGTAAACAATGACTACTTTTGACATTTAAATGATTTTATTGAGTAATATCAAAACACCCTGTAATGTGTTCTGAAATGGTATCAGGACGCCCCTGAAACAAACGGGTGTGACAGCGAATTTGTTGTAATCATTTATGTATATTCTGCTACTTTAACATGTTTAACTGTTTCATAATCTAACTAAGCGACGAATGAAACTCTTAGCAGATGTTATGATAACACCATATCCACAAAACGCTTATACCGATCATCACTTGCTAAATACAGGGTCCGAATCTGATGAAAAACCTGTTAATGACGTCATACCGTAATACACAACCGATCTTTGTCAATACTTATATTATTACTACTACTACTGCAAAATTAAAAAAAATATCAATGTTATATAAAAGGCTCAAAAAATACGCTTTTCTTTTATGTTATAAGAAAAATAAGATTTCTTTTAGTACAAGAAGGCACTAATTAATCATGACTTTCAGGTACATAGATATCAGTCTGAGTATCTATACATCTACGTTGAGATTAAACAAGTTAAACCTGCACTGGCCAATGCTATTCCTCAGAAGAAGAACGTAGTGATTCACTATGAAACGTGAGATAGTACTTTTCGAACATTTTTCACAGGTTAGGCACTTTTATTTTCGAGGGAAGTGTGAAGCATTATTTACGGTCTCTTATTATATGGATGGTGACTTATTCATTCCACTGCTGTAAAAATTTGGGATACAAGAGTCTATAAGGTCTAGAAAGACAATTTCGACATTATGTTGAGATTTGAATATATATCGTTTTAAGAAGTTCTCGAAATTTAAAAAACAGAATGGTAATCTATGGAAGCAGTGTCTGGCTAGTATGGTAAATGTCAGAGAGTCTCCAACTGCAGCTGTGAGATATGGCGTTGCCATGCGGTAGGAGTGATTTACCTCCGCTCACTAATCCTAATTACTGAATGCCAAGTTCTTTCATCATTTGCTCCAAATACTGACAGTAAACTTCAGCCGTAATCAACAAGTTAGAATCCATAAAGCTGCAGTGGGTAACACCTGCTTTTGCAGCTCTACGTTTGTTTTGGAATGATGTTCCACCAGTCCAGGTATCAAATTATATGATTATCATAAAGAATCTATTTTTCATGGCAATTCACGGTGAGGAGGTCACCGTTTCAACGCGAGAGGAAAGAAGAGAAGGAATGCCTCCACATCTTCGTTATTTTTTTTCTCATCAGTGCTGCAAAACCATGCTACATCGATTCATTCGGTGTTTTCGGTTTACTCATTTAACCAATGTGAATAAATATGGTGTTTTGACATACAGCCGCGTACGTTGGGATGGGTCGATTTAACTTGGATAAACCTTTATAGCTTACGAAAGTTTCTGGAGTGACACTTGATGATGGAGAACCGCCTCAATGGCTGTTTCCGGCAAAACAAACACTTGAACTAAGTTTCGTCCTGTGTACAGCTATGATTTCTGTGTGTACGTTAAGCATATGGAGCAAATATGTACGAAAACTGACTACGCAACGCCACGGATAAACTGCATATCGATTTTCAATTATACTGCGTATATCAATAGTTCAATTAAGTTAACTCAACTGTGATTCTCTTTCCGCAACGGTCTTTTCCGGTGGGATTGGATCTGAGTATTAGAATATTATATTATTTTAGTTTATTTATTATTTTGAAGCTATATAAAAAAGAAAAATAAATTATTATACGCTCTTTGACGCTAGGAACTTGATTCATACCTCATGAACGACACCTTGCTGGCTTACAACCTGTGACTCTGCGTCCTGTTGCCTTTCAGAATCCTTAATAAACTGAACGACTGCATGTATGTGCTTGCACATTTTACCGATCTTCGTTGCCCCTCCACAATTGCACTTGAACAAATGAGCGCAACACATACAAAGCTTACACGTCAAGTCGCATTGCGCTCCACCCACACGAATTTCAGAAGGACATACGTCTGATACCCGGCTCACTCGGTGGCGAACCTGCAGAAAAAGACAATTATTCTTGAACGCTTGCTGGCAGGATATTATATCTAAGCGATATGTATTTGCATTTATAGGACTATTTAAGGTTGGAAAAATATTTTCTGTTGTAACTTATTTTAGAAAAATAATTTTATCTAAAAATGTTGGTACGCTACGGAAAGGGATCGTATATATATATATATATATATATATATATATATATATATATATATATATATTGTAAAAAGTAAGCAACGGACCTTGCCTTCAGGTCGTTTAACACCCCACTGGTGAGTATCTGTTTGGACAATATCGAATGAGCCGTTTGTTGCTGCCGTGTGTTCGAGAACAATGTCCGAAAATGACGTTGATGATCGTTCCCTGAAATTCCGTTCCATCGATGCAGGTTGGCAGTGACTAAGGGGAATTTATTTCATAGGAACACGCTGGACATATTGTTTTACGGACTGATTTATCTGCGTTACAATATATTGACAAAGAAAATACCTATTAAGTGACAGCCATGCAACGGTATGTAATGTGAAGAGCAACGAAGCGCACCGACACTTAACTGTGAACTCATTTTTACGTTATTTAATTTTAATTGAATTGATTACATATGTCAGTCCAAAAACATATGTCAGAGCAAAAATGGCAATTTTTTTTACATTCGACAAAATAATAATAGAAGAACAATACATACTCGGAAGCTTTTGTAGGTACAGACTCTTCCCGATGTCGAGGATAGTTATTAATCTTATTCAGCATTTGCACGTTTCCAGGATCTACGCTATTGCCTGATTGACTTCGTCGATTTTGCTCGAGTGTTTTTCCTCTTTCTAGAGTATTCCTAATTGTCTTGTAGTCCACATAGCGCAAGGGATCGTCTTCATCGAGCTCTCCCACCTATCAAAATATGGCAAAACATAGAGCCTTTGCTTATATTATGTTGTATTCTTATGGTAGTACGCATTAGTATGCATGAAGTATGAAAAAATAAAATAATTAAAAATAAACCCTACTTACGGTCTTGTGAAGGATCTCGAGTATTTCCCGACAGTTCATGCCCAGCTGGGCATGGTATCGAATAAAGTTCTTCTCGGAATCCAGTAGGGGCAGGTATTTACCTTCTAATTCATGGTTGTAGTGAGTTACCGATCCAATTATGCTCACCTGGCCTGAAATTTTGTGTAAAACAACGAATGCACATTAGTACTACACCTTAACACCTCCACTGAGGAGCGATCTAGTTGAGCATATTAAAGGATACTACTAAAAATTGTGATTATTGCAGGGAATTCATGGCAGCACTTTTGGAACTCGCCTACTTTGTATTTATCAGACATGTACATTGCATATACGTGTGAAATGGGGCTGACTCTACGATAGTTATCTTACCGTTGGTATGATAGCTGACGATAGCATGAGCTGTGCAGAAGGTACCGATTTTTGATGTGCCCCGTTTAATATGCTTTCTGCTACGATCCTTCATTTTGACTCGTACAGCGCCCTCTCGGTTACAGTAAAATCGCTTAACACCGTTCACCTTACCGTGACGAGATACAAACCGGGTTTTGTACATCTGTGTATTCCGTAAAATTTAGTCAAATTATTCGCCCGCTCCTAAAGCTACAAAACGCTGGCTAAACACTCAATAAGTAAAATAAATGTGAAAAAAACCACTGACCTTCTGCACTCTTTGAAAAAATATCTCAAATTCGTCTTCCGTGTCAAATGTTCCCGTCACCTCCTTAATTTCCCATTCATGGTCTTTTCCCAAATGGTGTAGTAATTCCTCACGACTGCAAAGAAGAAATAAGAGCATTATAAGGACTATTAAGATATTCCTTGAAATCTACCTCTTTTCTCAACCATACATTATACCTATTGAAAGTCAAAATATAATATACTTAACACAACTACATACATTCATATGTTAATAAGAAAAAATGTTACAGTTCACGTACCTGCGGACTTTTACATCGCATGCAGCTTCTTCGCAGGCATACCACTTCTTCGCAGGACTACAAAGCTGATCAAACTGTTTTTCTGGATGACGTCTACCGAGATGTTTGAGATATGTCTGCCGGTTAGAGAGACGGAGTGAACAATGTTCACACTGTATTGGTCTACAATAAATTTAGCTTAGGTTAGGTTAGGATTTCAGGCGTATAATTTCCATACTAATTCAAAAAGATGTGGTTCTATAAAAATTCTAAATTTCAACCTACCTAAATTTTTACATGATACGACAAGGGGCCTCTGGCGTAGATTCAAGCACAGCATTTTCAAACCCACTCTAATTTTACCTGCATGCAATCTGTGTAATTCACCACCAAAAAAAGACAAACGGATTACCTCTTACTCAGGGGTTCCTTGGTCTCCGCTTTAGCAGACGCACTGTGGGCAGCCGATTCCAATAACTCTATTTCATCTTCCGCCATCGCCTCTTCACTTTCTTAATACCCGCTTGTTTCTGCATATGTATTATTATACTGTTATTCTATGTCGTTGCGGCCATTAGAACTGCATTATTAGGTTGCTATCATGGTTGCTATCGGATCATAACATTCTACTTCAAGTTTGGACTCCAAAGATGAGTTTATTAGGTGACACCAACCTTCGTCAACCTCGTAAAGCAGGTAACGAATATATATAGTTAAATGGTATGTGCTGATCTAACAATGATTTTTCGCTAAAGTGGCTCAAAGCGACTTCCGTCAGATCTCAAAGGTCGGATAGAAAATTTGTTTTAGGTCGAAAATACCATTTTTGAATTAAATTATTCATTTTTGAGTGATACATCATTCACCAATAGCCTTTTCGTCTTATACACCACACCTATCCTATTTAGTCACCTTTTTGACTTCGGTCAAAGAAAAATGAGGGGTTAAAAATTCTGTTTCCAGTATCCGATATGTTTATTTTACTTCCATATGAATCCAAAGCAGAAAACTTGTAACCTAAACAAAGCATTAACAACTTAAAAAAGGCCTTGCAGAAAAAAGAAAGAGCTTTAGATCAGTATACAAGATTTGACCACCAACAGACGAAAATTAAGTAGGGTAAGCAGTAAACAAAAATGGCCATTATTTATATAACAAGTTAATTGATTAATATTTTACAGTTGTTCCTCCTATTACCCTCAGATAAGCCAATAAAATCGCCTTGCATGCCTACTACGTATTTACCCGGAACGACTTGCGCCATCTTTTCTGGAACTTATAGAACCGTAACCCTTTCTGTAGATCTATCGTCAATGATGCCCCAAAGTGAATAAGCGAGACTACCTATACCACCATGTCTGTGGTGTTTAAACACTTATGATGTTTATTTTTATTAATATATTTAATAACTTGAACTGCGATATCAAGTATAGCTTATACTCAGCTTTGCTTTTTGTTACTCTTTAATCGTTAGAATTTCGTAATACTACGGATCCGGTGTGCATCATGAGGAAACGTGTGACGACTTACAAACAGATTAATACGTCTGAACTATGATATCTTCGCAGTTGGCTGTTATGACAATATCGTTAGTTTCGCGTGTTGCTTATTTGACATAAAAGAGAGGCTGGATATTGATCACCTTGGTCGTAATCAGTTCTATAGTTGACGACAATATGGATTGATTAAACATGGAACTGTGCGACACGATTACGCTTAAACCTTGAAAACTGAGCTAAAAGACCCCAAGTCTATAGATATTATATTTACATATAGTTTTATGGGCTTTAAATTCCTTGAATATTGGCATCCGAAATTTGCAGACAGTGTTATTTCAAACTTTGTTAATGTTTGATACGAGGGCGTTTTCTTACGTTGGTAAACTAAGCGTACAACGTTAATAAGCGTTTAAGGCCTTTGGTGCAGGAGGTTCAAATCGCATTGCAGTTACCAGAACTGGTTTGAATCTACGCAGGAATGTTTTTTTTTTGAAAATATGATTCTGAACGACCCCGTTTATTGTTTGCATGCAGATCAAATACTTTGCTTCCTTAAGCGTTAACAAGTCCTTTTCATTCCATTAGTGTGCAACTAGACTCGTTCATCTTCATCTAGTTATGGCTAGATGTCATTTTGAATCAAATCCGCAGTCAAGACGGGTCGTGGCTACATTTACAATAGAGGCTTCAAGATTCGAATAGCAGAACCTGCGGGCATCTAGGATCTCAAGTTCTTTGTAACGACTGTGTATTTAAATAAGTTACAAATAAAACTATATTATGAATCTCGTTATTGTAGTATGACTTACTTACTTTTTGTAAGAGGGCTGCAGACCGTGTAAAATTCGGTCTTAGCTTCAGCTGTTGAGCTGTTTGTTGTTCTTCCAGAGCAGTTCGGTGTTCCGATGAATAAGGGAAACGCAATACATCACGGAAGTAGGAACAACACGGTTCGAAAGCGCTTGCGAGGCTTCGTCATCTGCAATCTCACAATCGTGTTCCTGTGGTGGCGTAGTAGGTAACAAGTTGACGACCAACGTCAAGTTGGTGATTCAGGAGCGAATCCAGGCGTAGGCACACTTCATTTTGTGTCGAAAGTTAACAGTTTGACAGAATGCCTAACGGCAGCGCCGAACGTGTCAGGAACTTAAATCTTAGACTAATTGTCAATTTGGACCAAAAAAACTTGGTCGTTGATATTCTTAATTGAATTGTAAGCATAGAAGTAGGACATAGCAACTTTAAATCAAGAAACGTAGTGTGTAAGGATACATTTAAATAACTCTCATTTCGAATGCTAATTAATCAATGAGTGCTTTTTTTAAATTGATCGAACAGACCAAATAAGGAAAACGCCACTGTTTGGATTAAATGCTGAGAGGCAGGTTTCGAGTGGAAGAAAAAGTTACTTTATTTTTTGTTCCACGTAGAAATCATACCCGAAGTGACCGAAAGGAGATATAGGAAGAACAGGCTCTGAATTTTGAGAACAAATGGGAATAAGAACGCAGGATATTCCCGAGAATGCATAATTTTTGTGAATGATCATAATTTCAATTTCTATAAACATATATCTTTTTATGTAAATATTTATTTAAATTTCAAAAAAATTTACAAGAAATGTGTAACTTTCCTTCTTATCACAATTGTTGCCGTTATGGTCGAAATATACTGCGGACAACGGTAGCTTATTGATTCGCAAACATCAAGAAATATTTAGTTGGCGCATTCTTGCCCAAGTGCGGATTTTAAATCTTCTAATTTTGTTGATTTTTCAACGCAGACTTTACCTTTAAAATATCCCTATAGTGAAAGTTTACTCGCGTCAGGTCTAGGGAACAGATAGGGTATTCTATAATAGCTCTTCATCTAACTCATCTGTTTGGAAGATTTCGATTAGAACATGTTCTTGTCTTACTATAAAAGCGTGCAGCTGCCTCGCCCTGTTATAAATAAAATTCGCCGTTTTCACCAGAAGCACTTCCTGAATGTGTGGTAAAACAGATTTTTGTAGTAAATAGCACCAATCACTGTACTGTGAAAGAACAAAGGTTCAATAAATAATTTACTCACAATTCCGTACCTCACTGAAATTTGCGATTCATCGCTCCAAATCATCTTCCCCAAAAACGGTGCATTCTGTTGAAATTTTCCAATTCGCTAAAATCAGTTTCGTTGTTCCAGATCATTTTTATTGATAACTTTTGTTGCAACAATAAACATTGTTGGAGTGTAACTTTTGCATTTAAAATGCAATTAACTTCTAATTTGTAATGCCAAGTTCGCGACTTACAGATCTTTAGAGTGGTTCGCTATTACTTTCTAGTACTTCGTCATAGCTGGTAAAACTCCTTCATGTTCTTTGTCTCTCGGAGCGTTGGTTATGAATATCCTAAACAGTTTCAATCGCATTAAAGTCATCTTCTTTCCGATATATTGCAGCTTATGTAAGTGGGTCTGCCTAAAACCTCCTGCGATGATATCTTTATATCCCTGCTATACTTTAATATATTCAATAGCTTTTTAAAATAAATTTTTTTTTGTTCAGACACGAATCTCGGTCCACTAATTATTTTTAATTAATTATGCTTTGAAAAGATAGGAGAATCAGGAAGTCATGAGAGTATACATTTTTATCTGAGACATCCTGTATAATTATTCACAATGCGGACTGGTACATGATATTTCATGTTGGAAGAGCTGCAGCAGATGAATGGAGTGATTATAACATCGCATAGCTCCAGACTTGATCGATATTTCGATCTGATGCAAACTTCTTCGTGAACTCTTATAACATTGGTTAAACAAATGAAATATATTAAAGCGCTAGCGATGCTATTTGTTCGTTTGACTCTTTACTCTGATTTAGCGATAACGGCGTAAAACCCTAGGGCACCATTGGTGCGCGCCATAACACTTAGCCGCGCCACTTACGTACGCGTATTCACGTACGGTTTAGCGTTGTCCGCGCTCCTAGCTAATCTATGCTTGAAACTATCAACTTTCCAAGCATGCAGTAATAACCAATTGACAATGGAGGAGGGTTTTTCATAGTAAGGTTATCAACCCCGAAATTTGATTTTGCAGCAGTGGGGCACCTGTTTCACTCGCTTAAACCAAAATTTTTTCCTTTACTGCTCAAATGCCCTTTGAGGTTCGTACGCTCTTACTTTGACATCTTCTGCAACGAATTGGCTTTTCAATCATAGTTTCAAGCAAAAAGGAAACAATGCCGGAGTATAAGCGCGCCATTCATTTCCCATTTCAAACGATGGTAGTCTTTGCAGCGAGCCACCTTTTTGATGTTTGAAACGAAAATTCGGTGAGGAGCTGTACGATGTACCCAACATCTGCGCGTTTAATGTTCATCTATCTATTCATGCCCTCCAGCTACGGTTTTCTAAGAACGCCCACTTCAAGCTACCCTAACCCTATCATGTAGATCCCCAACAGCTTAGTATTCGCTGCGCGTCCTTTTTTCAGTTCCATGTTAATGCCCCGAATTTGATTGTTGTCGGCGTTAGTGTACCTAGCTTAGAAACAAAAAAAAAAATCTTCGAATACGCTTGGTGTATCGTCATCGTAGCTAGACCAGTGGTCGAAAAAAATTGACATTAAAACATATGAAGAGTTCTGCAAATACTGTGTACACAAAATTCATAAATATACCTAAATTTAAAATTTCGAAAGTTATTATCCATAGGGCCGCTATAGCTGTGTTACAAATCGAAATACATTGTAACTCGACTATGTCGTAAACTGGATAGAAATTTCTCAATAGTAGTAATAATGCGTTATAAGAAGAAACCAGCATTATATGTGCGACTGTACAGAAGAAAACATAATGTGTCCTGGTAGCTAGCTAGCTAGAACGATGCTGTGCTGTTATGACCCTTCGTCTTTCGGTCGACGGTGGAAGCAGCTCTAAGCAAAGTTTTAATGAACGTCTAATTATCTTTGAAGTAAGCCATATGTAGCGGAAGAAAAACACGCTTAATCTAGTAGTTTTCCCTTTGAAGCCCTTTGCATTTTTATTGATAATCCCACTTTTTTGCCCAAGAATCCACCACATTTTATTAAATCATCTTGTGGCTTTTTGTCGAAACATTATCGTCGCCTTTCATCGACATATCGCCATTCGCCATGACTTCTACATATCTGTCGCATGGTGGAGCTGATCGCTGCATTGGTATTCTCGTTGCTCTTCTTTTATCCGTTCGTCCATCTGTTAGTCAGGGGTCTGTCGCCTCTCGTCGCAGTACTTCGTTATCGACATGTATTCAGTCACGTCTTCGATGATGATACCATTTGTCTCTTGTAATCTTTCCAATCTTCTTTCTTTCTTGAAATTCTCTATACACTGTACACAACTGTAAGTGCGGTTGGGTTTATTTACCAGTATGTATAAGCAAATATGGTTGGTTGTTTGTGATTTTAGTTTTATTGAGCGACATTTTTGCAGCATTTCCTACCATCGTTTTACAGTATACAGCAGTTCATAGAAATCACTCTCTCCTGTTTGCTCATGCACTCCTTTCCTTTCGCTACGAGGTCTCTATGATACAAAAACACGGCACAGATTTTTGGGGCTACCAGGTGGACCGTTGGCGGGGATCTCCATAAGGCGAATCAGCTAAAGGCCTTTCTATTTTGACACCCCACCGTTTTTGTTTGAGCCCTTTCTCGGCAGATTCAGAATCGAACGCTCGTCACCCGCTTAACACTTTTGGTCTGCAACTGCTCGATCAAACTCGTTCTTTTTCTCTACCTTATATCCGAATCTGTTCGAATATATACTTTATTTTTAATTGCATGTAATATTATAATCGAATTTGTAGTCAGATAAATAATCAACAAAGCAACCAACAGTTCTGCAAGCTTGCTCTCTGCAGATCTAGCCTATAGTTTTATTTGTGGTCGGTGGTTTTTCAGTTCCGTTGAGCTTCGTCTCTGCTTGGCATACTTTTTTTTGTAAACATTAAGCTAACTGCCCCCATTTGCGCTTGCTTTCACTAGAATTGGTATTCGTTTATTTTCCTATTGCTGCCCTGATTCGGACAACTGATAGGAAAAGCTCTACGCATACAGAGTGATTCAAAGACATTATGTAATTATTACGCGGTCCTTAACGCTGTTTTTGTCTCTCAAAAGAGAGTAACGAAATAACTGGCAAAATGTCCAAGCTAGATAGTTTCGATAGCAAACCGAGTGCATGCGCTCATCTCATAGTTTCCGTCGTAACAATGTTAAGAGACTTCGAAGCCAGATGGTATAACGCATCTCAAACCGAGCGTCGCCAAAGGCCAAAAATATTTTCGCTCTATAGGAGGTACTCCAATCATGAAGGCAAAACTGTAGATTACCGAGTTAATAAGATGAAGATTTATAGGGCAAGCGGGGACAGTTGCATTTTCTTGTTACAGCTGGCTTCTTACAGAGATTATTCTTATTGCAAGATGCCTTTGAAGTGAAGCCTGGAATCGACCTTGAGCGTAGAGAGCTTGCGTTTCGAACGTGTCTGGAGCGAACATTGTTTGAGGGGCACGTCTTTCTCGTATAATCAAGAGTATACACCTGACAGCAGCCTTAATGTCAACGTTGATTCACATGCTGCATGTAACCAGCTTAGGCGAAGATGTCTATCTTTGAAGCAATGCTCGCTTCTCAATGACAACTTAACCCAGTTAGGCGATAACCTAAACAGGATGACGCGGACGCGATCAGGAACGTCGACGTCTTGGGTCACTGACTACACTAACTTGAGCTGAATGAGTTTAAAAGAAATTCTAATGCACAGAAGACGTGTGCCTTAGAAGCTTCGAGGAAGTCACGTGAAACCATTTCGTATATAGTATTATGTGCTTATTACTGAAAATAGGTATTGCATATCCGGGTCAAGTTTAATTTTGCACAATTGTTTCACTTTATAGCAGCCTGTTCGTTTAGACATTGTCCGCTACTGGGAAATGAAGAATGTCGATGTTAACTGCGAATGTCGCTCAATTCATCGCAATGGTCTCTTCGTAAATATTTGGGTAAACGTGAAGGGCATATATGCCTCGTTTTATCGCTCGTTAACAGTGGGAGGGCTGCTGTGTCTCTTGGGAGACACTTTGTAGCACATAGGCTTGTGATGATTAGGTCCTCAAGCGTAAGGCTATTCGCAAAAAGCAATTCATCACAACTGGTGACGACAACGGATCACTAGTGAACAGTATTAATACTTACATTGTTAAAACTAGCATTACATAATTCTACATCAATTGCAATCAGTTTTATTTACCCCATCTTTTCTAAGACTAACAATATAACCATCACGATAATAATAATAATACTAGTTATAACATCGATGAAAATAAATACTAACTTGTGGTCTCCTATGTATGTATAACATGTATCCGTACATTCGTCTTTCTTTTTGAAATTGTTAGTTGTCCGAGTATGTAATCAACGAAAGAAGAAGAGAACGCACCGCCTGCTGATCGATCGCTATACTTAACAATATACGCAACAAACCAGCTCGTTTTTCCTATTTTTTTTTTTCAGTTGTTTCAACGCAGTTTTATTATCGTGATATCTCAACGTAGTTAATTATTAAAACAGATCGTGCCTGTCACGGATTCATGTATACCTTAAATATTTCCCTTTCATCACTTACGTTCCGACGGTATGTTACATGTAGAAATATAAATTAATACTAGAGCTTGTTTCTGCCCTGGGAGTTCAGTGAGTGCTCCCCCGTCATACGGCCCTAGTCGGTTATGTCCTCCTCCTTCCGTAGCGCCCTAAAGCGTTTCATCGACCATCTGTTTGTCTATTGGTTTTATGACACACACTCACAGAGGTTCACCGACACACTGTTCTTGCGCTTTCTTTGCGCAAAGATACAACAGTAATGATAGCACAGTAATAATTCATACTAATAATCTTAACTACTATCATTGTGATGCTTCTACTCGGATACACATTGCCATTGTAATAATTAATAGTAATAACATACCGCTGCTGTTTATTCACTTAGTGTCCATCCATCTGTGTTTGTCGTACGTGTCGCTGGCTATATCAGATCTATTTATATAGTATGAACACGATTGCAAATGCACATGTACATATTCTTTTTTCTCTGCTTATGCTGAGCAGTTGAATACGTAGCGTAGCTAATAGAGCTTGCTCAGCGAGCGAGCGCGTCCACTATAGCTGCTGTCGTTAGGTGGCGCTAGACGATGACGGCGAAACGGTCGTCGAAAATGTGGACAGGGAAAACGGCGAGGGGAGGGTCGAACTGAAGGCCCTAGACTGGACCTGCTCAAAGGCTTCGTCCAGCTCGAAGGTCGACATCGTAAGGAACAATTGACAGGTAACTGTGGTGTTACAGATGCTGGTTTGGCAGAGACGATTTAGACGGCAGAAAAAGCAAAGGCGCATGGCGTTGCTGCAACAACGTAAGATGACAAAGTAGCGCCCATTTGGCCAGCAGGATCCAGATCGTGCCTATAGTTGCGGTGATGAGCAACGTGATGCAGCTAAAACTGATGACTATGCTTATCTCAGGGAAGTTGTGCTGCAGCAACAAGACCATAAGCAGGGCTATGACTTGCGGAAATAGTGGGCACAAAGAGCGGCATGGATTTGTTGATTGATGGGATGATAGCGTTGCAAGACGGCTTGGAGGCACCAGATGCACGAGCAAGGCGAATGACGTAAGGGATCAAAGCCCCCCGCCATCGCCTCCGCCACTCGCTGGAACGACAGCTGCCGCTGCTGTCAACGTCGGCATTGCTATGACAGTGGGGTCAGTTGAATTGAAACATCCTAAGGGAGTCCTTCCTCAAAGTTGAGTGTCAGCCATGTCACACAACTGGTGGGTCTCTATATAGGTGAGCAAGCCGCGATACAGGAACTCGTATTGGTTCTGTAATGGATTAAATTGAAGCAAGGGACACGATTAAGATTCAGTATGATGTGCGGACATGTGGACACATATATGCAGAAGAAGTTTGCTACGTGTGTTTAATGTGCTCTAATCCAGATAGTTGAACAAAGTTAATCCTTCAATTGTATATTAAAATAAAACCTAACATCGCGTATCTATAAGGCGCCGAATTGTTCCCAATAAACGGTGACAACATGCACGTGGCACAATAGTTTTTTTGTATAATATCCGATGATATGCTGATTTCGGTCAAAAGCTTGTTACCGCCGTTTGCAGTGTGCAGGGCCTTTGTGAGCGAGTAAATCTTGCGGCTTGAAACACGTCCACCCGCTCTTCGGCCCTCAGTTGTTGAATGAGCTCGAACAGCGTGACGAACACGGACGAGCGGTCGCCACCCCCGCTGCAGTGAACGCAAATTGGCCCAGCGGGATCGACAGCTCCACTAATGTAACCGCCTACGCCGATATGGGGTGTCCCGGGTGTCATCGTTAGGCCAATACGTGCGCTGGCTTGACTCATCTGCGCCGCATCGATTACTGCTAGTATGGAGATGCACGAATCCTGCTCGATCTGTCCCACCCAGCCTTTGTGCTGCAATTGCGTAATGCCATGTGATTCCAGCGACTGTAAAGAAATCGAGCGCGTCACAAAATAGCATCTCCTTGATTTCACACATAAATGCCACTCGTTTGGGCGTTTAGATCTTGGCATATGTTGTTCATAAGAACACAGATATTTCCAAAAGTATTATATATATATATAAAGAGATAGATGTTTTGCTAAAACAGGCACGAAGTGCGATAAATGTGAAATCACCCTAAACATAATTAATGTCGAGATAACAAACAAAGGGTGCTTTCCAACGAACCTCTACAACACGGAAAATGCAACATATGTGTAATTTTTTAGTGTTGCTACTAGTTAGAGTTTAGCAAAGTTGAAAGGGCCATGTTTTTGTTTACCTTTGCGTTAACTATGTCAAAGTCTCGCCGAATATAAAAATCATTGGCTTCCTCACGAACGAACTTCACTTTCACGTAGTCGCAAATTAGCTCAGAATTGACAGGCCAGTACGGATGACACTTAGTTTGCGATGGTGAACATCCAAGCTCACTTAACATGACAATTGTTGAGATGTTTTGTTCGATGATCATTCGCCAAAAGTCGACTACCGTTGTATCCAAGGGGTCCTGTGTGACGATGAACGACTGGGATCGATCGTATCCCTGTAACATCATTGAATTATCTATCAGACAATGAGCAGCAGCATTGTTCCCACCCTCCGCACGGTCACTGATATATGGATACGCTGAACGCTTCTTTTTGAAATGTACCATATAAGACCTTATTGCTCTTCTAATTCTTGACTTTGTTTCACTCAATCTCAATAGGAGACCCATTTTATATTAATTCAATTACGTGGGACGCGTGCGAATGCTCAGTCAATGATTAGAATAGTACCTGGATGAAGGACGCGTTAATATACGAAGAATTGTCCCTCGACGGTGACGATGGAAGTATTACTCTATTTATATCATCTGGAATAGATATTAAAGGTAGAAACGCTTAGTCAAAATATCATTCTGAATTAGTTGAGGAGATACATTATTTTCATTCTAAATCATACAAATTCCGCTATCGTTCAATCGATTCATTTATGTAGAGTAGAAGATAGACTTCGTCTCAGATTTATAAAAAGGTTAAAGACTACGAAAATTGCTACACTCAGACAGATTTCTCCAGCTCCCTTAAGAAAATTATAAGGGATCGATTTGGATTACTTTTAATGTTACACTTACACGGAAGAATGAAGTTGTATCTGTTTTTTGTCTGATTAGCTTCCATTTGCCCGACCAGACAGCTTTTTTGGTCTTCTATGACGTCGTTGAGTTTCTCAAATTCAAGCGCCAGTCCGTCTTTCCCCTCCAGATTGGTTTTTTCTTTCAGCTGAAGGTAGTGGTCGCGGAGATGACCAATCTCAATCTCGCTGTCACCAAAATGGGCGTGCTCCATAAGCGCGCGGTATATGAAAACGTATTGTTTCTAAACAATCAAGACAAAAATGCGTTTGTTAGAACCAAATACTATCTATAAAAGAGCTAATAGGACTGCAAGTATTTGTAGTACAACCAATTCGCTAGCTACACCGCGTAGCTTTTCACCTCAAAGAAATAGCTTCTATCCATTTTTTACGTTACTATGTTAGTACTACAATAACAAGTTTTACTCTGCCCTACAATCGTATGTTTTCTTTAAGATTAAGATTAGATGATACATGAAAAATGGGTAAATATTTGACACGTACCGTAGTTTGCACCAGGTGCATGCGCTGATGTCGAAGATAGGACACGCAACTGAAGATGTCTACCTGATCCCCTGGTCCCTCCAAATCATCGAGAAGCATGTCAATCGCTACAAACGTCCCTGTGCGACCGACTCCCGCGCTACAATGAACTAACAGAGGTCCTCGATCTGGCACATAGTGCTCATTGACTCGTTTTACGAAACGAAGAATCCATGATGGTTGTTCTGGGGTCAGGAAGTCTTTCCACATCGTGTAGTGGAACTGAAGGATTTCGCGCTCTTCCGTTATACCGCCCTGTAAGACAACCCAATTGTCAATCGTTGTATATACTGCAACAATGGCTGGCTGTATGCGAACAGCAACATTGTGCTAAAAAATGATACCTTTGATTCTGATCCACGGCGAGATCTATTCATATTTGAGTTTTTCTTTATCTTATCTATTGAGATTTTCGGTTACTACTTCTACGGCGGTAGGACACTTCTAGATTATTGTTTGCCGAAACAATCTAGTTGTACGCAGAGCGTAACTAGAACGTATGTACCTAGTACTCCCAGTCTTTCATACATACATTTCAGAATTTGAAAGCTAGTTAAATATATGTACTTTAGCCTCCTTCAACCGATTATAAAACGAGGCCACAGCAAGAGAAACATTATGATTTTTGTTGTTTTGTTGCAATTACCGCAATTCGATTGACGAGGAACTTCCGCACGCAGTAATCTGCATAATGTCTAACAGCTAGCACTCCTACAATGAACTCTTTTTCAATCTCCTTAGCGCCGAGGTCGGCCCAATATTGAGCGCATTTGCTTTTTCCGTGCTCTTCAATGCCCGTAAGCATAACAACTACAGTAACTCCCTGTTCCCAAATCATCCGCCAGAAGTCATGCAGAGTCTTATCAGTCGGCCCCTGGGAGCATAGGTACGTCTTTGTGTTCCGCCAGCCTTCTACCACGTTCGCATTAATGTAGTCCGAGCCCATCTGGGAGTCGAGCGGCGTTAACTTCACACGAGTTTGATCATCTGCAAAAGAGGGCGGTACACATTTTACATAGTCCGATGCCTGTAGCAAATACATTTAACACGAATAAGCCAGAAGCCGGTATTTAGATTAAGATATCCATTCTAATACTACTCGTATACCGATTCAGTTGGCGGTTGCCAGCCTAACCCCACACGAATGTTATTTGCGCGATGAATACACACAGAGGAGTAACTAGCCTCTTCACTAATCAATTTACTAGAATCAATTCCACAAGCAAGTGTTCTGTTTTGTAATATATATATATATATATAAGACGAGCAAAATTGACAGTTATGATAAACGCAGCTTGCAATTTCCTAGGAACTTACAGGCTTTGATATCCGGATAACGATTTTTATGGGCATTCTCCGGTGCGTCCGAGGCGTACGTTGTTCTATCCTTGAACTTATCAGGTAATAACTGAAAAACAAAGACGGACAAATAATTATATCAACAGTTAAAATTAATCGGGTCACTTGAACCTTAAGATTAACACAAATTGGCGAGGAGGCTTCTCCATTATCGTACGAGCGTATTCGTGTGCTAGGCCTGCCTTAAGAGAGCCCTTTAGTGTGCGGTGATTACAAGTACTCCTCATATTGATCAGAGTAACTACTATTAAGTGAGGAAGATGCATTCTTCATCATAGCCAACCTTTTTGATAGACGGTTGATTAATAATTAAATCCGGATAGCTATCCAACCGCTTAGTATATATGTAGAAGTGAGTACTTTCATTTCGTTTAACGTGAAGTCATTATATAGGTAACGTGTCGTAGTAGCCATTTGCCTAAGTACTTCGAGCTCTCTTCAACACAGCATTCCTTTCTTTTCACTTTTGATTTTCAAACAACGTCGAAATGATGCCCGTCGCACACGAGGCGAGGTTTTATTACCTACTTTCTATATTACGAGTAACAATGATTTTCAATCTGTCAAAATGCATGCAGACCCTCTACAGAGTTGCCATGACAAAGATCTGCAGTAGCGGAGTCGCCGGCGCATTCGTGATTACCTCTGCACATAAAAATTCACACATCGACAGATACGATCTGTACAAGTGTCATTCATACTGCAGTAATGCTGCGTCGTTAGCCGCCGTGGGTCTCGTGTCTGCCCCTTTTCTCCTTTCTTTTCTGTTTGTATATTCGTCAGTATGACTATGAAATGGACCTGTAGGAGCCCATGACGCCAGCGCTACGTGTCGGCTTGGTGTGGAAAGTAGGCTCAACGCTGACAGAGGAGAAGCCTATTGCAAAGAAGCTTTAAATGAAGCTTTCTTTAAAGGCTGATTAATTTCTTTAGCGTAGCTTCAGGCTCTTAATTGTTCATCTAGCCACCCCTGCCTTTTTGCCGTTGCTGCTGCCAGCTCGGTCAGTAACAGCGTTCGCGACTGCTTGCATTCGTTTCTGTCCCCGTCTTATCCTGCTTGGTATGATAACGCTGTTGGTGCTGCCACTTTTAAGTGCTGTTTTCAAGGTTAGTTGTGCCGTGATATCGTCACGATTATCGTCTTCGCGACCGTTCCTCTGACCTTCTCCATCCATCTCCGCCCCGCCCACACATTACGTTCGTCATTTGAGGGAGGGTGTAACACAACTTTGTTACTGGCAAGTGGATTTGTATTTTTAACTCTCTTGACATCTGCGTTGTTCGCTGACTCTTCTCGTTTACGTTGTAGCAATCGTATGGCGTACATTCGTTTGCTCTCTTTCATTCCATAGCATATTCCTTTGGGCCTCCAATCCAAGCTTCCGCTTCTAGCGCATCACAAATGCCCCCTATCTTCCTCTCTTACTTTTTCTCATCTTTTAATTCTTGTTTTATTCTGTCTGCGTCTTCACTCTTGAGACGGTCCCTAGTTGTTCAATGACTAAACCCGTTCGGCTATACGAACATCACCCGAAATGAGCTGATGCTTATGTGCCAGGAGTAGCAGCTTTATTAATGCCAGTTGCAGCTTATTACTAGCATATAATTACAATATTATAGGCCTTATAATATTATAGGATACAAAAGTAATAGGCATTTTCCTCGATGGACGTAAGAAACGAGTTCAGCCTACATCACGTCTAAAAGATGAAGCGGATGTGAAAAAGGTGAACCGTCAAGAAGCAAGACAGATGTCCCTATAGTGAGGTGCATACTCACGTCAAATTCGTTCTGAAATAGGTGGTCGTTGTCGGCGTGTCGTTTAATGAAGGCAGCTGGAAGGTTATGCGCTTTGATGGGCATTGACGTTGGAGGAGGCTCTTTTACACTTGCTGCAATAGCATCAAGAAAATCATAATTAATAATATTAGAAGCTCTATTATGGATTGCCCAACTCGCCCATATAAAGAGATACCAGTGCGTCAGCGATATTCACAACGCCAACGCCCAACTGTAAAATCATCAGAGAAAAGACAGGGTATACTTAGTGATAATCTCATATACGGCTTCAAAGATTTCTTTCGCGATACATCCGTATAGTACTGTCAGCATTTTAGGTGAGGTTGACACGTGTGCGTGTGTAGACAGCTGGAGCGCAGGTTCGCAACAAGAGATGAACCTCTTTCGCAGGAATGAAGGCTTCCAGAACAAGGACACGCAGAAAAACAAGGGAGAGAGGGATGGCAGAGGGGATGGGGAGCTAGACAAATAGACAAAGGATTGCGTTGCTCAAGAGGATTCAGCTGTGCTGTGCTGGCTCGGTGGCGGCGATTCTTAGAGTTGTAGTTTCTGCTTACGACTGATAATGTTCACAGGGATGGGTTTGAGGAGGGCGTGACGGAGCAGCGTCGAAAGGCGCAACTCAGCATACAGCCGGGAATCGTCCAGAAGTTCCTCACCTGGATCAGTATACAGCTTCAAACTCTTCTTTCTGTAACAACCAAATAATAGAGAACATCAGGCCACAAGGGATAAAGATGGCGCAGGAAAATGGTCCGCAGACCCAAAGCAATGAGATATTATTATTGATAACTAACTTTATTGTTGCAACTAAACCCATTCCTTGCTTGAGTGAAACAAGGCTAATTTAAATTGACCATGTCGTAGACAAGCTGAACATTCGACAGGCGCCCACAAGACGTCATAATGATTTAGACGGATAGTAATCGGCTCTCCTGTCGAGCTTTCTCCTCGTCTATACGAACCACTATGTGTGAGAAGCACTGGTTCAACTAAATTTACGGAGAAGCATCATGCATAAATGTCTTCTGCATTACACTCTAGGGCTTCGAAGGGCAACTTGAACTGTAAATGTTTTGCTAGATCTGGATTGTAGTAAGCTGGTAGGAGGCACGGAACCACATCAGTTTTTACAGAGTTTAGGCTCTTAAATATTAGGAAACAAGTATTGTCGCACATGTACAGTGTTGTTCACCTGATGAGACAGACGAGTACGAGCAGCATTAAAATAACAAGCAGAAGTCCTGAAAGTAAAGCGGCAAAAAGTGCCGCAGGGGAGTCGTGGGCGACGGCGGTGCGGTCCGCACCCGTTTCGACAGGAGGGAAGTATCCGCTCTGGCGGGACAGGACGGTCCCGTTCTCGCCGCGCACGTGAATCTCCACATATCCTGTATAGTTCGTTTTCGATGACAGCAGCCCGTCATAAATTTCACGATGCTGTGTTAATCAATCGACAAAGGTGGTATTAATTTCCTTTATCACTAATTTTCATAGCGCGAACGAGTTTTTTTCGTGTCACAAATAAACGATATAGCAGTGATAAAGACTTGCATATGAGGCTTTTGATTTGTCATACACTTTTTACGAATTGTTCTTTAAGATGAAAAGAAAGCCATCCCGTTTTCCAAGGGGGACAATGTAGGAACATGGTGGATTTTCCTGCTGATAGTGGGGCTTTCATACGCTGATTCTTTTATCCATTTACCATTACAGCCAAAGTTAGTCAAAAATCATTGCAACGAGATAGAGTTTTGTGCATCATTCTTATCGTAAATATGTTGTAATTATGCTTAAGATCCAGCGTTCGAAAGCGAGGGCCGCACCTGGTAGGAGGATGGCTGCGCGGTGCTACTGGCACTGTCGATTTGTATTCCTGACGTATCTCTCCGATGCAACTGTCTACCTTGCAGGTATACTGTCCTCCTTCTTCGGTAGGTAGCAATGTCATCTATAGTTTGTAGCCGCCGAAGTTCCTCGTCGTCGGTTGAGCTTTTGCCGCTTGGTTTAGTTTTGAGTCCATGCTGACTGGAAGTGGGGATCATCCCGGTGACGGCACCGGTCTGGGCGCTAACGTTGTGTCGATTTGAGATACCTCGAAGTCGCTGGGGTAGCTTGACTAGCAACGACGAATCACAGTGAAATCCTTGAAGGTCACCAAGAATCACCTCTTCGGGAAGCTCCTCGCTGGACAAACACGGTATCATCAATAAGAAATTGTACAGAGATCTCTCCATTGTAAGTATCACTAGCTACATCTGCGTCTCGCTAGCGATAAGATAATTACAATCATGCATTTGCTGCATTCGGTTTTTTATTGCAGTTAATGAGCGTGCTGATCAAGATCAATCGCCATTGACTGGCTCGTTTGCAGAAAAAAAAAAAAAAAAAAAAAAAGCTAGAAACGGCTGCAGTTGTGTACCAAATCGAGCAAGCTTCGACTCGGTATTACGAGATTAGATAAGCGCAAAAATTTTCCTATTATTATTCTGCCATTTATGACGATATGTCGTGAGATAAGAAATATTCGGTTTTCGAGGTAGGAAAACAAGTTGTTGGGCACAGCCGTATGCAAAAAAAGAATTCGCCGTTTGGTCTAATGCACCGCTTCTTACCTGGGAATGGACTCAGCAACGTAGGCTCCAATGTGCGTTTCGGGCTTATGGGCCATTTCCCATGAAGTAACATTTAATTCTGTTGGGTCTCGCGGAAGCAACCGAAAAATGTCTCCGATTGGAAGCTTAATTAGGACAACCCGATAACACCTGTAACAAGATAATCACATAAAAACTACAGATATAGACGGCCTGATTTTGCGCACACGCTTCCTATTGTTTTTAATATTTTGCTATGCTAGACCATGGGCTATTAAATACAGCACATATCTGTGAACAAGTTGATGGAATAACACATAGAACAATGCAGTATGAGGTTTTCATTATCAAGCATAATTCGGGCTCGAACTCTTCAGCTACATAGTTAAATAAAATTATGTACTTATATAACACTCATGATTCAGTCGCTTTAACTAAGGCTTTGGAAGCGCACGTTTTGATGGCAATTTTATATCTCATGACAAGGCCCTTGTCTAAGTATCCCTTAGAATCGCCAAAGATAAGCGTTAGAAGATAAATAAATTAGCGGAACTGTATAAATAGTTGACAAAATCCCAAATACTTTTACTTAGCAGCAAGTAGTAACTCTGCTGTTAAAATTATCGCTTGTTACCTTTCATGTCACCGATGATCGAACTCGTTCCGTGATGTGTGAGTATCTTTTGAAAATATCCATATCAGTTTTGTTGAATAGTTTTGTTGAGGAAATAAGCAAAAGTATGCTCGTGTATTCGCAAGGTGCTTCTGTATTACTGTGAGTTCTCAACGGGAAAGTTTTTTTCAGAGCAATTTTTAAAATATCGCATTAAAACAAGTTCTCAATTAGACGCCAGAAGCCAAAAAAGGCAGCAGCGAAATTAAGATGCCCGTCACACAGATAACTGCTGAAATGCAGATTTCGGCGTCCCGTCGTTACAGTCTGCTCTTGATAGCAACTAAAATTGATTGAAATTCTAATCCAACGTAAATAGATAGTCACGTGCCTTCATTGAGAACAAACTATCTCAATTTAAACAGCAGTTATTTTCATATTAAAAATGCATTTTTATTCAATAATAACAATCTAAGTTCTCTTATTGCAATGGCACCAGAACAAAGTCTAGAAGCCTTATAATAAAAAAAAGCAGCATGAAAATTGAGACAGTACAAAGGAGAGGCCGCTGGATAAAGAAAAAAAATTTGAGGTAAACACAAACAAAGGTCGTTGTGTAAGTTGTGAGTCGCCAAAGGACACATGTGGTCAAAGAGACCGACCACGCCTGTTACTAATGGATTCGGTATCTCTCGGCTTTTGAGCATTATTGCGGATCGGTAGGGCTTCGAGAGGGATGGGATGCGGGCTTAGCCTGTCGCGACTGCAACATCCCTCTAGGCCCTCTTTCCTTGATTGACAGAGTCCAAGACGACGGCTGGTGTCATACTGCTGCACACCGTAGCAGCAGGTCTTGTTTGTCACTGTTCGCGAACGACTACACTCCATCTCTCTTAGCCCTCAACAAAAGAACACATATGCAACAGGCAGGAACAAAGGCTAATCCAGATGAGTAAGATTGCGAAGGTAGGGCGGATGCAAGTACAAGCAGTTCTGTGTATATTTGTCGTTCGACAGAAGCAGCCGTTGCCGCTACCGTCAGCCTCTTGCCTTCGCATCTCCACAAAAACGCAAAGGTTCACGAAAACCTTTTTAGCCCGCATCCTCCAGTTCGATCTTCCACGTTACATTCTGGCCCAATTAGGTGGAAGGTTAGGCGAAGAACTGCCACTCACAAATTGTCGTTGTCCATATAATCACTATTCCGGAACATTTGAGAGTCATGGTCCCGATAGAACAGATTCCGTCGTGCTAAGCGCCATTACCATAGCTAAGGGCCAAACGTCTTTGTTTTGAATATCGGTAAAGGCGTATCGTCGATCAGTGACATTGAAAACATACTCAAGTAATTACAAATTGCCAAATTGAATAACAAATTGCCAACGCAATATAGTTGATTAGTTTTTTCCAATGTCTCTTGTTTTTTTTTTAAATTAACGTCGATGAAGTTTTGACAAAAACAATTGTTCTGTTTTTACATGTGTAACGGTAAATGCAGCACATTGATCATTTGATAGTTACCGTTTTCAGCCAACTAAATGATATGATTTAACGACTTCTATTCAGAACCAAAAAACGTATACTTGTGTACATATCCAGTTTGTGCTTAATATTCACCTTCCATCTGCGTATAATCTAAATAAGTATTATTAAATAATCATTTATCTATAGGCAATGAAGAGTGCTTGCTGCACGCTGCAGGTTCGCGATACGTACAAGATCTCGGCCACTCGTTCTGAGACGCGTATCATCTTGAGCCGAAGCTGCTTATCGTGATCACCTTTTTCCAAATTGAACCTCGGTAGCGCAGGCGGCACTGAAATGCGGAAATGTCAAAGGAGACCATGTCAGTTTGAAGACTTCGATTTATCTAGAAAAAAAAAAAAGATAACTAGGAAAATATTGGTAAGAGAGAGGTAAATAGCCAATATTTCGTGCGATCGTTCACATTTATACTGGGATTAGAACAACAAGCGACCGGCTGACCGAACTACTAATCTACTTATAAGCGAAGTATGTACAACTGCGGTCTATCGCAATACGAGCCGAAAAGTTATTGCCGAGCAGCGAGGTGTTTTTTTTATGATTATTATACATATATGTGCAACTACTGAATCTCTGTTATTGGGAAAAACAAAAAAAAAAAAAACCCTCACTAGAGCTAACGTGAAATGTTGAATAACAATTGCGATATTTTACCTTATAAGTTAAGATAAGTTGTTGCCGTCTACAATGTGTGGAGATAAGGCAATGTAGTAATAATGTAAGGGAAACTCCATATCGTTATACTGTTATTCGTGCATAATATGTTTTGCTGGGACAGTATCGTTTCTCGATGCTCTGCGAGCCGCAAACATCAGGGTCAGCAGTATTTTGTTCATATTTTTAATATCGTCATCCTTATCGTCGTCTGATTGTACTAAAAAGTTACTCTATTTATTGTCAAATGAAATCATATGCTTCTCTCTTTCACCCTAAAATTATACCTTTAAAGAACATTTAAAACAATGTTTACCTATTAGCCAAAGATCTATAAACGAAAATCACTCTTTTCCAGCATTAGCACATCGACATTTTCTGCCAGATGTAACACCCTCTCTATAATCATGAAATGTTACATAAAAATGGTAAATAAAATAAAGGGACGAAAGGAACTGCATAAAACTACCGGGTTCTTTAATTACTTATAATAGCAAAAACAAACTCTAAAATGACGCTAGATAATAGAGTAGAAAACATTGTTTTCCAAATTCAACTACGTAACGTTCTGTGAGGGCGAATGCTTTTTTAAAAACGAAATTTTTAAAAAAATTACCAATAGGCGGAGAGATGCATGCGCTCTTGACGCTTATCCCGCTGAGGTTTCCACACCCTGCGCGATTGATTGTGCAGACACGAACAGTGTAATTAGTGTGAGGTTTTACAGCCACCTAAAAAAGAGAATACACGAGTCAGCTAGCTCTGTCATGCACCCAGGTTCCTCATTACCATTTTGTAAGTACGCTCGAAGTAAAACAAAAATAGGAAATGGCATATTTGTGGTTGTTTATTAGTCCAATGAAACACAATGCAATCAACCCTTTCATACAGTGAGTGCTTTAAACACATGTGTAGCAAGCGTATCGGAGACAAATAAACGGGCGGCTATAGAAGGTCGCGGGCTCACGTTGTTAGTTCATGTGATAATTAAAAAGATGTTACGATATTTTCGCGATGGAACGTTCTTTATCATAGTCGTTCGCGTAGCTCTGGCCACATTAGCGTCCAACTGTGAAGTGACTTCTGCTACGCCATATATATATAGTAACTTTTTATAGGGCGGAATCTAAATTGGGTTAAACTCCGGTGGGTCGTCTAAAGGTTGTGTTCATCACCTATTCTCGATGCTGGAAAAAAAATAGAACAAAAAATAAACTCGTCATGGCGAAAAACTCCGAAATTCGATCAAAGCTTAGATAATACCCAGTGCTTTTGCGTTGGACGAAATGTTAATGAGCTAAGTGGAATAGTAATTCTTGGGTTACCTTAGATCGACAGTGTACCGTGTCGCCTTGACTATTCTTCAGAGTAAACAGAGGCAGACTTTAGCCCAGCACAACGAATCATCCGCAACAAAGAAAAATAGCGCGAGTTACTCCAGAGTTAACCGATGGTTCCCAAAAGTACATTTCTCACGATCCTTCTATTTCGATCAAGTCCCTAACGAACGCATTTGGACTGAGTGGACGTACTACGTCACGGGTTAATCAAAAGGACCTCAGATGTACATCATATATCACAAACGTCAGATAGATGGCCTCTGAAGCCAATAGAACGAGGCGATTTGATTGATATCATTTGCTTCTCAATTCTTTCCAGATTAAAGTAGCAAATAATGGCAGAATTCTTATCATCGATACAAATATCGACCGCAAAAATGAACTTTGCCTTACTCACAATTCGGCCTTACTCACAACAAGGTCGGTGAACTTTCGGCTAATGTTTATATTCTATATGTCGTATCCAGTGAGGGAGATGTCATACTCTTATACGTCCTGAGATGAGAACATCAGTTTGCTTACCCATGCTATCAAAAACACGTCTGCAGAATAAAACCAGCGTGTGAGCGGTTCAAGTCCTAGCTTGAAATTGTAATCCTGATGAGTAGTCGTTGTATGGAATAAATACAGCCACCAGGAACGATACTTCTAGCATAGGCAAAACAATCGTTGAAGTAGCTGCGTAGTCTTAAACACAACTCCAAAGAAAAATTTTCCTCTTGAATGACCGATTTTGTTTATACAAAATCTTTTCTCTTAAATTTCTCTTAAATGTCCATCTACGAAAAACTTACCCGAAACTGCGTCGTCGTGGCGTTCACCTCGTGGGCCTCGAGTACGTTTTCTGTCTCTAACGCTCCTGTCTCTCTTCGAAAAATCGCACTTCCCTCAAGCGTAATCTGAAAATATTTGGTAAATGATGACAAAGCTCTTCTTTGCAGCACGCTGTGAACTCATCTATATAGGGCAGTAGGATATATTGTACCTTAAGTAGTTTCCCAGTTACAGAACCTAATAGTAGTATTTGCGTATGCCTGATGAAAGAAATTCAAATGGATTTCATTTTAATTAGGGTACGATTTTGCCATTTGATGTAGCTACACAATATTGTGCTTTAAATGCACCTTGTCAAAATGAGATGAATGCGTTGGAAGGATCGCTACTTAGCTGTAGACCACAAATAGCATGGCCATATGTGTGGAATGTAGGTCAAAAAAAAAGTTGTATTTACCGACTTTTTTAACACGAGCATCAATAACAGGACAACGAGTAACGTGTTACCAGCAGTCCTGCGTTTAATTTACCTGGTCCCAGTCGATGTGAGAGTGTTGTTGTGTTAAGTTCAATAAAATATCTTACACAGACTAACATTTGTCTAACATTCATGAAGCGTCGAATTTGCCAAATGACCTTCTTCTTATTTCTTTACTTACTTGTAACTTGCAAGTGATACTGATGATCGTCCAATGGTCACGTGACTGTTTGAGGGAGCAGCTAAACCTAAGCATTTGTTTAACTTCCGCTGGAAGGCCTGGATTGAGTCATAACTCTATAGATCTAATTGTCTGTTTATAATTAAATTTACATTTGTATATAGTATACATTCGTTGGAAAAGAACTTACTATGTCAGAGAAGTGGTATGCACAAAAACAGTGGGATCCTTATCATCACCAGTACCAAAGCACCTCCTTTGAGCTGAGCAAAAACACCGATTTTGCACATTCATCTGTACAGGCATCTTCAAACATAGATATTATTTACAAGTTCGGCTCGCACTACTATTTCCCTGGCCCGAATCAAACGACGACTTCTCGTATCATTTAGTACCACATAAAAAAACAATTTTTTACGAGCTTTGCCTGTTGATTTTTCTGAAATGCACGTACATTTTTTCTGCTACAAACGTGAAAGAGGAGATAGCAAACCCTCGTTGTTTCCTTCAAGCGAGCAATGCCAACGAAAAAAAAAGTCTGAACATTTCGTGGAAGCAGCAGCGAAAATTTCGATATTATTATAGTTGACGATACAATTTGTTTAAAAGACTCACATTTACTTTGTTTACTTTGGAGCATCCCGTTTTTATGACACCACCGGAAGACGCCGTCCACAGCGACAATTAAAAAAAAACAGCACTCTCAGATCACCGGCGTCTTTAATAAGTCTTACATCATTTGATAGGTATCAATTTATGTCTGATACAAATATAGTATACTACGTTAGAGAAACGTAAATCCCCTGAAGAACGCCGGAGGTAAGACTAATTCACATCTGGTAGAGGCGATTCGTTAAGTAGGAGCGTAACCGATTTAGCGTGGTATTATAAATACCTAAATGTCTATTTTTTCAACAACAGATAATGAATTAATCCTGTTGAAGACACTTTTTAATAAAAATATATACAGATAATTCTGATACGACAGTGTACAGGTGCGTAATTAAATCGTGTTGGCTGGGTGACCTAGATAATTTTTTCAAAATTGTAAGGACGTACCACCAATTTATTTTTAAATGTATAAGCTATAGAAAACTGAGATCCTGGATTATGTTTTACAACATTAATCTTAAGCTCCTGTTATAGCCGGGACTAGAACACTTTATCGAGATGCAGTGCAGCCTTTCAAATACCTATTGGTTAAGAAAAAGGGCATCATTTGTGTGATAAAGTTGTGGAAGTTGTTAGAACTGTAATTACATTTCAACTTCAGACTGCTCCACAAGTTAAAAATTGCAATTTAAAAGAACACCTATTTTTGCAAACAGGGCGAAAAACGCTATAGGTACACAGAGAAGCCTTTTGAAATTTGCTTCATCTGTACTACAGCCATTATCTTTTCAATGAAAAGATAACGCAAGACCGGAAATAAATTTGCCCTTTATACTTCATATGCACCCAACATATTGACTGTTTTATTATATCGTTTTAGTTCCTGTATTCCTAAGAACTAATGAAAGAGAATATCAAGTGGGTTCACTGGGACCGCCGACCTCAAACTGCGTTGTTTTTGTTATTGGCACGCATTTTATGATACGGATTGTTTCGTTATCCTGAACGCTAGAATGCTCTATTGTTCTTCTATGTTCTGGCAATGCAGGGTCCAACTAGGTCACAAATTGTTATTTATGGAAAATACAGGCAGTGGCTGTAGAGACCAAAGTGCGGACCACTGCTTCAATAACCTTGGAGTAGCAAATTGAATAAACAATAGCGTCTTTCGGCTGTGTCAGATATGCTAACTCCGCCATTTTCTCTTCCTCTATTTGGGGACTTGGTCCTGGCCAAAACCTTTTTAAACCAAAGGCGTCGAGGTCTAGTCTTCTGAACCTTCGATTTTTTCACTTGCCTTCTTCTTTGTGTCAGAGCTTATTTGTCTTCCTCTAGTAATCGGATACGGGATTCGATTTAGTCAATGCTGATGCATATACGTAGGTTATTGGGGGTAACACGAGGTGGGAAGACAAAATGTTCGTTCCGTAACTGATGGGTATAGGAGCACTCGAATCTCCAATCAATAGAGCTATTTTATGTTATTGTTTCTCGTTGATTGCCGTTAACATTTCCTGTTGCCCATTGTTGATCTGTACGAGGTTTCTTACTTAGTACGTATATGCGTATCATCGATTATATTAGAAATATATTTTATTATAAGTACTAAAAAGTCATCGATGAGGTCAAGATCGAGGGAGTAAGTGGAAAGTCGATGATCAAAGTTGGGATCCATTCGCGGCCCAAATTTGAGTATGTAAACGGCGAGGCATATCATAAAAAATTATTTGTTTATTCAACAAAGTTGATTCAAGTGAAATTTAATATTGGTCGACAATTTCATGTTTCGTACTATATAAATCAGAGAAAAATAACAAACGCCGCCCTAGTTTAGAATGACAGTTTTGTGATTATTATAATCAACTTCAAAGTCGGCCTTATTCGAAACCTGTTTCATAGCGCCTATTATGTGTAGCCTATGGTGTATCCTCGAGGGAGATCTATGGCTCACGAAGGTTAAAAGGATTTAGGCTCTTTTAGTTGTCTCCGTGATAGATTAGTAGCAGTAGGTAACTGCAGTCCTAGAGGTACGTTGTAGTCCAGGTTCAAGTCCAAGAATAGGCACACTTTGTTTTGTGCTAGGTACCACCTGTTTGATGAAATGCCTAACGGCCATAACAGACGTAAAACTCTAAACGTTGAGGCTACTTGAGTTATGTTCTCATGAAATATGGGTGTTTCTATGAAGACTGTTTTCAAACAACAGTTGGTCGTTTGAAAAGATATGTAAAGCCTTTCTAGTACACTTGAGCACTGAAATGCGCGTTTGCTATTAGATTATATATATATATATATACATACATTAGAATATAACTTTTACGTTCCATTGGTATTAGATAAGGTCCTTAACAGAGATTATTGAAGAGATTCAGGATGATTCACAGTCATTTTGGGCCTCTCGGTAATTTTTGGTGTTTAGTTTTGTTATCAATAAAGTATTGTCAAAGTGTTTCGAGTCGTTTGATTAGTTATTGATTTGAGCCAATGATTGACATAGATACGTGTTTGTAATAAAATTGCTGGATATGGAAGCACCAAAGACAGTTAATCAATATTAAATTAAATTGCGCTTTAAATGCCATTGTCGGTGAATGAATTGACCAACCATATCTTGCCATAAAGCAACCCCAAGGCTAAGTCAGCCAGCGTCCCCCCCCCCCCTTATCCCGTAAAGCGTGTCTCCTGCGCCATTACCCATTCACACGACCCCGGTACACCCAACAACATACAGAACGTAATAAAGGGTAGGGTATGGCGAAAAGGAGAGAGAGTTGGAGAATGAGGCATTAATAAAGCTCATAATAATATATTTTATTATGATTAACAACGACTTTAACCCAATCACGGCAACCGCAGCACTACGGTATTAGCAGTACCACAAACAATGACAATAGCAAAAATAGCAGCACGTTCCGCTTTTGACTTCTCGTGCTCGTCGAATGCTAACGCAAAACAGCGGAGGAAACTTTTATGGGTGGCATCTTATCGTGGCGCAAGCGCTATAAGCACGCACCCTTTATTGTAGCATGTAACAGTCACTCAACTCCCGCTTCCCTCCTTCTTCCCCAGTCTAACAAGTAGCATTAAAAAACGGTATACGATGAACTCGTTGGTCCAGGCTAAGCCTTCGCTACTCATTAGATCATCCCCAACCACAACTATTTCAACGACTCCACCGCCATTATTCTCTATCCATATCGTATGACCGCAGGAAAAAACATCGGCCGAATATTTTTGTGAAGATGAGGCAAGCTATACGTGCCCGCCAATGTGCTTCGTCGGCCGGCAACAGCCGTTGAGCAACACTACTACGTGAGGAATGAACGCATATATATATATATATATATATATAGGTACTTAAAGAAATTGAGTTTTAGTGGTGGTGAGCTGTCCTAATATTATGCCATGTAATAGTTATAATAGGGAAGGGTGAACCTAAAAAATGAAAGAAGGGTAGCTTACTCTTTGAGTATCTTTCAAATTTAGACCATCCCATTTTATTATATGACTTGTTACCATAAATCATGCTCGCCTGATATCGTAGGACGAAAGTCGCCTTCTGAAATCACGCCAGTTACTAGTATACAGAATTTCATTTCGCCATATAAAACTGATACAATTTCCTCTAACTCAATTCCGAAATACTACAGCGAACCCTTGTTGTGGTGTATACCATTTTTCTTCGATGTAGTCGAACGTCAATCTTTTGGCCCTCTGGGTGATGCTATGCTCCAAAACTTGGATTTTTTACTAGACCACACCAGAAGAGTGACAACATTTTCAATCACGGCACAATGGTTTACTCATTTCGAAAACGAGATAAGCCACAATACAATATTTTACAAAGTTAAAGC